CGACAATCACATTAATGAATACGATATAATTCTATTATGCGTTTCGAAAGCGCGTGCGTGTCCGATTTTACCGGACTTTTACATTTCGCAGCTGCTAGAAAATCCGTAATACACATCACATATCGTAGCGATAACGTAGAATTGAAATAAAATAATTTTAAAATAAGCAAGCAGGGATCCCATGTATTTATGGTTCAGTGCTAATTAAAAAAATGGTATAAATGCTATCGCATCGGCGTAAAATGTTAGTTGCAAATCATCCTTCCTCGTTTCAATGTACGCAATGTGCCAAACTAGCTCTTGAAATATGAAGGAAAGGAATGTAAAGTGTAATCGTTACTCAAATTGCTAATTAATAAGTACTTATACTTGTGAGTAATTAATATGTCCATTAAAAAATCTCACATAATTTTTACAACGTGAATATTTTTACCATTGTTTACTTCTGACAAATGTATCGTAATAAAATATATCCATGTGTAATGATGGTAAATATTACATACGGAAGTATAATATAATGATTCCGTATAAGCTGGCTGAGGTATCTGCTTAAGGTATCTGAGTTGCGTGAAGCTACCTGAGCTGCGCGAAGCTACCTGAGCGATTTACTTGTGAAAGTATCGGCGCGTTCGTTTTGCTGCATTCTTATTACACTCTACCGCATTCATGACTTCCTGCAGCACAAACGGCAATCCGCATAATAGCACCATCGGTCTCGCATATCTCATTTTACATCCCAAGAAATTATAGCACGCTAGCGATCTAACGTATAATATAGAATATGACTGACGTATCCGATGATGATCCTCACAATTGTGATGGTGCAAGTAATAAGGCTCGTACTTTCTAAAAAAGGTGGATCCGTAAATAACATTAAAAATAAACAAAATTGTTTGGTTCGAGAGAGTACTTGGTAACTTTAGAAACTTAAGTTTTGTATTAATATTATAGATGTATGATGTCGATAAGATTATGATGATGAATATTTAACAAAATAAGAAATATTAACAAATTATACTTAAATTTAGAAAAAAGTATATTAAAATTTAAAAATATTGAACAAAAATATGATAAATTTTACAAATTGTCTTGTTTGGAGTTCTGAATAATTTTTTTATTTTAATTTGAGATCGTGCATTAAGTATTTTTATCGAAATGGAACGCGACGAATCTCAGATAATATATTATGTAGGATTTTAGACACAAGTAAAACCTAATGAGCGGAAAGGGAAAACTATGTGCGAGCGACTTCGGCTTCTGCGGGTGCAAAAATTTCCACGGACGTAATTAAACGACTCGGGTGGGCAGAGAGCGGGCGTGCGTGGAGTACTAATTGCATTCGTTAGAGCAGCCGACTGCGATCGCATAAATAAGTCTCGGGTGCGGTTTTATCGGGATTGCGCGATGACAGACTTGGTTTTATGGTTTTCGTTATTACGTTGTAGGAACCACATAACTATGTCTCTGTTTTTCTGTGCCCGGCCGAATATGAGCCGCGACGTGGCACGACGTGAAACGCTTAGAAAGTTTAAGCTAAGCACTTTTCCCGCCGCGTGAGCTGAAAGGCTGAGAACGTTGCGCTCGTCCAGGAATGCGTATCGACGAGGCCTACCGCGCGCCGTTGCGGCCGTTGTTCGCGCGGTCGCCGACATTGCGATTCGCCGGACCCGATATTCCGCGCGCTTACTTTCGCGACTGTTGACGAGGAAGTGCGCTCATCCGGATAATATCGGCGCGCTTGCGGACCGCGAGGAAATCAGAGTTTTCCTCTTTGATCCGCTTCTCGAAATTAGACGGCGACTCACTCGCTGAATTATAAGACGAAGAAAAAAGAACTATTTGTTTGCAATGAGCACTGATGAAGTTGATCAGGCTTTATGAAGTAAGAACAAATTTTGAATTGAATCTCTTTGACGATGCTTTTCATCATCTTTACTTAGCGAAAATACGGAAAATTTGAATGAAAAACGATGCCGACAGGGAAAATTTGAATGGGAAACGACGTTGTCGGCGAAAATCCGAATGAAAAGGGGCGTTGTCCTTTCGGAATTAGTTCGTCTACCGCGAAGGTTCAATTATAGGGATGCTGTTGAACGTGAAACATTATGCAGACTAATGTAGCGCGATAAATCACTTAATTGAAATCACAATACTACTAGTGGTTAATTTATGGTTCGAGAGAACCAAGTGCGCTCTCTCTCTCTCTCTCTCTCTCTCTCTCTCTCTAATGGCTGACTTTCTTAAGTTACACCGGTTTACCGGCGAGATATTTAGTCGACATGGCAATTATTTCTGTCGACCTGATTTCGAAGTTTGTAGTGGGTGCTAGATAGCTATCAATTTCACTGTAATAAGATATAATTTCCGTGCAAAGCGGAGCTTTACATCAATGTGTCCTACTACAACGTTACGATTTTGTTTTTGTTTTCACTGTTACATGAATATGCCAGTTAATTACACACAATTCTGAAATCTGATCCACGCATCGATGCACAGCACCTTGTAATATAAGCGACCTGCCCACGTCGCGTCGTAAATAGAATATGACGAAGTGGCATCTGCCTAAAAAAAAAGTTAAAGGCCGCTTTTCGCTCATAAGCAATTCTTAATTATCATTGCCACAAAGGGATTTCACTTTAACGCAATGCGAATCAAATTACGAATAGTTTTAATCAAAACAATCTGGTCCGCCTCGAGAAAATGTATATTTTATTTTCATAGACATGTAGGTTCTTCTTTGAGCTTGAATAAAATATTTGTGAGTTGAATGTAAAGTGACAATTTAATGATATTTGCAAATTGATACTCGCGCATACAATTATTCTGCAGAGATATGAAAATATCCTATTTAATTATTTTGAGGTCGATTAAGATATCTTCAATGAAAAGCGCTGTCCGACTGGCGTAAATGCCACTCCCACGATCTCTCGAGACGAGGAGAGAAACCGATCCTGTCTCGTTTCGCAGCATTTAGAAATCTCGTCGTTATCGGCCACTTCTAGCAAAACGAGTGTCCGGGAGATCGGAGAGATTATAGGCCGCCCACAATATGACAACGATACTGACGACGACGGCGCGTCGCACGTTCGCGGACAGTGAAGATGATCAGAGAGAGCAGTTTAATTACTCGGCCGCGGCGTTAACGATCGTAATAGTGGCGCGAGTGAAAATTAAATCGCTAGTTAAGTAGAGCACAGAGCGAAGCCGAATGCTTGGCAAAATTGCACGCGGCGCAATCCCGGAATTAGGCGTGGATGTTGCGCCGCGAGATCCGCCATTCGCCCCCGCAATCCTTTCGACTTAATTAAGACTTGATTGCGCCGTAAGGACCGTCTAAGCGACGATTAGAATTTATTGTTCGACGATTTCACGTCGGTACTCTCCGCGAGCGCGGCCTTCGTTCCTACAAACGCAACACGACGCAGAAGCATTATTCGTGACGCGGATAATCGATCGAAGATCCCGGAAATGGTGTCGTTCGCGATGACACGGTCCGCTAGTGGCGATAATCGAAGCTTCTAAAGCGGAAACAGCGAGCCTCGCCCTGCCCGAAGAATCCAGACAAAGGAATCGCTCATGCAAATGGCTTCAGCCCTGACATTTCGTTCGTGAGGTTTTCCTCACTTCTCGAGAGCTGAGAAACTCGCGAAACGCATTTCGCAAATAAAAACTCGCGGTGAATTTCTAAACATAGCGAGACCAAATGACTTCGTCGATTTCAGGAATGTCAAAAATCAATTTGAACGGTAAATTTTAAACGATGGATATCGGTTATCGGCTCTAAAATAAACTTCTACGTGTCTCACTGGCTGTTAACGTAATTTATTCTCAGTGATTGAAACTCGATAATTATATAAATTCTATATCTGACAGTAAATTGCTAAAAATAGCTAAATATAGCAATTCCGATGGTTTTAAATTTATCAAAAAACAGTTTGAAAATAAAACTCAAAATGACATATATATTATATATATATATATATATATTTCAGCGCAATAACACTAAAATAATCTTCCGCTCCTTACTAAATTTTAATGTTTTTTAAAAACAATTTTTTCTAAATTGTTTAAACTTTAAATTGCAATTTGTTCCAATTTTTCGAATGTTGATGGTCATTTAAGCAATTTCTCTGTGACTACTTCTTGGCACATAAATCACGAAATTAGAGCATTCGTAATCCGTTTAATGGCTATTTTCTACGATGACGAGGAGCTGGCATCACGCAGAAACGAGTGATCTCGATTCTAAACTTAATATGAATGTGAAGGCAATTTAAATAATTGAAGTTTGAATAGATTATAGATAATAATGTTCGTGAATTGATTTCTTAAAATTTATTAATAATTCTATTACAATAATATCAAATCAATAAGGATATTGCGATAGAATATATTATTAGATATTTTTAATTGTTGAATTTAATGTCATAATAAGATTATCATGATGAAATTGAATTAATTTAATTAATGTTAAATATTATTATTAAAAATTATTAGATATTATTTAAATATTAGTAGACGTCAATTTGTTTTTACCTGCACACACATGAATAATTTAATCCATACCAAATAATGGAAATAGAGAATACTTAAAAATTTTTGATAAATATATTTTATTTAATTTATTTATTTTATATAATAACATTATTTAATTAAAATACTTTTTAAAACAATAAAAAACATGTCTTCTCTGTCACAGCATGTTATTGCAAACAGCACGTAAATGCGAAAAGTTTCGCTGTAATGCCATTGACATGTTTACCAATATATATTTTCAATACGTTTTGCCGCAAACATAACGTCGGAACTGAGCGCTCTTCCGCAAAAAAAAAAAATAACATGTCTAAACTGTAAATTTCAGTTAGAGAACCGACGCCTCGACGTTTGAAATATTGAACAGCCGAGCGAGGTCCTATTCAACGGTTAAGGATGGATCTCCGACAGAAGTGACCGTCGATTTCGCAGGTAGACGGACAGGTAGAAATGCGCGCATAACTCACCAGAATTTTATGTACGGTTCGCCGGTGGGGCCTCCGGGCCGGGGCTCTGCGACTCTACGATAGTCCACGATAGGCAAAACGATCGTGTCCGTTTTCGTGGCGAAATTCTGTGTTACTGAAAGCGACCGGGACGGTGCTGCGAAACGTCGGCTTTACGACCGGTCGAAAGTATCGGCGAGCGGCGGGCAAGCCGCACCACGGTTTCTACAACACAACTGGCTTTCGAGAATTCCCGCTTGGAATGCCTACGAGGAGGAACGGTATATGCGATACTCGGCCGTGCCTACCTCGACGGAATGGAAAAGGCACGGCGAGGAGGCATCTTCGTGCCTCCACCGCCGCTCCTACGGTCACGTGCGCGCCTCTCATGTATCGCACCGTAATAATTGAGAGGCATGGGCATCGATTGTCATGGGCACATACTTGAAATTGGACATGGGCACATACTTGACAGTTATTACATGACGATTCTTTAGAACTATCCTGAAATAAAATCGATAGAAAACGTTAAGCAGAGTCAAAATTTATAACAATTTATATAATTTGAACAGTTGGGTGCGTCACGTTAAATAACAAGTATGTGAAAATTATTGTACATTACCTGTGGTTTATACGGTGTAATAGAATTCCCGTCGTAGTGAATACTTTACAGTTTGACGCTTTAAATAAACACGCGCTGCGTCGCACGAGGAGAGGATCGTACAAAGAAATGTAAGGTGTTCGATTCTTTTTTTTTTAGGAAAGGAAAAAGTAAAAGACAATTAGAATTATTTATTTACTGCAATTTATATTTTTAATTGTTAAGAAAAATAAGTTTGTCAAACATTAATTCAGTGTTTTATACAAAAACGCTGAATTAATACACACAGATGGTCAACGCACAAATTAACTCTTGAGTGCGCGGCTTTGCATATATGCAAAGCGACTTTTCGATGCTCCGTGTACTCTTATGCAGTTCGTGTACTCTCCCTTATGAACTAAAAACGCTCGACTTTGCACATCTGTAAAGGGCTTCTCTGGCCCTTTTCTTTCCCATCTGTAAACGGTTCAAATTAGTAAAGAAAAATTTTTTAAATATTTTTTTAGGATTCCTTAAGCAGTCATTATTTATTTAACAAATACTTAGGATGCTATAAGAAATTACGTATTGAAGGGTTAAAAGCTTGCAGCAGAATATTGCAAAATCATTAAATACAGCGGTATCGCCTCTGGCATTCGTGATGGTTTTGTAACTTCGCATTGAACAGTTATGTAAAGTAAGCGATTGAGCTCCGAAGAGTAAATAGGTGTGGAATATGTTCTTCCATACTACGCACTTTTAAGTGGATTCTTCGAACGTTAGTCATTACGTACCATTTATTATTCGCACGCTGTGAAGGCCGTAAAAAAAATTTATATTCGTCATATTATTTACATTCAGAAGTCGATATTCTTATATTTAAGTAAAATATATTATATCAATAATTATAATATTGTATAACAACTATTATTAATTATTATTTATATTTTGCTGGTTAAATAAATTTCATGATCGAGTAGCGTTAAGCAATTTAAAGAACAGATGAATGTCTATGTAATCTCTTATTACGCTAAAATATAATAATATAAAGTATATAATATATAAAGTATAAAAATAAATACTTAAAACATGTAATATGTATTACATTCTTATAAAAGAATATAATTCTTAAATTTAAATATAAAGAAATGCATAAATCGATGCCTACGAACCGATAAAGTTTATTACATCAGAAATACGATCTTAGACACGTAATACGATCTAATCTATTCATAGCGCGCTTCACTTGACTGTGAGAAGTAATTATCATTTCGCAGACGATGTGTAACACAGTTACATAAATGGTGGGAAACGTGCCCACGGAATTGCACAGACGTAAACAATTGCACAGATTCTTTTCATGAAGAAGCTATCATTAAGTTTGCTGGCATGCAGCGATGACATAATACAAATCCAAATATACATTATTTGTTCTGAAGACTTTAAAATATATATGTTATAGTTATATGATATATATATATATATAGAGTGTTCTTCTCACGTATTATTAACGAGATTCTTTAATTAATTTAAAGAGATGACTTTTCTTTAACAAAAATATCGAAACATCAGTAATTTCGAATTATAGCGATTGAAGTAGATGATCTTCTCGCAAATTAAACAGAGCCAAATAAATTGTAAGATTACATTTATCAACTGATTTAGATAGTTTATTTTAATAAAATTCCAATTTGGATCTTAATTGCAAAGATATACATATAATGCTACAGATTGAAAATAAATGTTGATCTCCTTTGTTACTCTTTTTCGCTAAGGAAAAATAAATTCCGAACTAACCAAAGATTCTACTGTTAAAAAATGGAACCTAAGGATAACAAAAAATATTTTTTTATTATTTTTGAAAGATTTTTTCATTCTTTTCGCTATAGGCATATAAAGGTAACTGTCCATTTCCCTTTGTCCGATGAGCCGACAAGAATTCACGAGTAACAACGATTGCTAATCTTTGCAATTCATTCCGCGGAAAAATTTCAAAGAAGATTCACGACAGCATTAATGGAAACGTTAGTATGGATTATTTAAAACTGCGTAAATCGCGCACCGAGCCCGTTGAAGCGTAGTAACGCGCATTGGTAACGGGAGAAATTTGGATAATCTCTTGATCGCTCTCGTGAGAGCCAGAGTTCGTTCAATCTCGCGAAAGCTTTCTCTCTCTTTCTCTCTTTCTCTGCTCCCAGAATGAGAATTATTTTTATGATTATGCACCCCGCGCTGTTGCTCGTTAACCGCACAGGGTATTTCTGGGATGATGGGTGATGCGAAAGTACGCTTTAGGGGGCTATGACGCTCAGCTAATTAGCGAAATAAATTTTCGAGTAATAACATCAAAATAAAATCACGTAGCATACGTTAGCGAATGTAATGCAAATCCGATATATTTACAACACTGTCGACTTTATATCTATATATTCAATGGCTCTGCAATACGAATTATTTATGTGATTTGATCTTCTGCCCATCACACGTTCGATATAAAATACCGTTATTAATTCATAATCATTCAAAGATATATGATATTAATTCTTGAAAATGCTATAAAAATATTTAATTTTAATTTTTAATCTTCAATGTTATATAAAACTTGAATTATTGCGTATATATCGCTGCACACACATAATATGTGAAATATTAATCGCTATAAAACTTATAACAGTATTTGATTCAATCATTTAAACAACTTTTATTATTATTATTATTATTATTATTATTATACAATTTTATACTTAATTAGCTCACTGCAAATTAAAAAAATAATTTTTTAATTTTCGGAAAATTTATATATGTATTTCCTTAACATTTCAATTTCACAAGTTTGAACATATGATTTTGCTATTTCAGTAAATTTTAATTTTTCTTATGTAAACAATAATTGTAAATAATTGTAAAGAATATAAATAATCTAACTTGAATCTTTTTTACAAATGTTATTTTTAAATGCCAGAGACTAAAATTTTCTATTTATTTTATTATTTTTTTCTATTTATTGTATAAAATATAATATAAACAATTAAACATTTTTAATATTGCAAGATTCTCGAAAATACCAACATATATTTTTAATTTACGAAAAAGATTGTAAATTGATAGTTATTGATTCGCTACAGAAAATTTATTTGTTAATCACGTTGCTATATCTAAAACAAAACGATTGACCTAAAAGCTTAATATACTAATCTAAGATGATTGATATTGTATGTTCGAGTAATAAAATAATTGGTGATGAGGAAAGCAATAAACTATGTAGAGAAAGTCAAAATAAATCATGCGGTCAGTTTAATCTGGTTGCGGTCTGCCATATACCATTCAGCGTATAGAAGTGCAATTTTAATTGCGACATTTTTTAACGGTCAGAGCAAGGTATATACGATTATAAAGCGGCTGTGAAGGATGGCCGCATTGAAAACTGCGGAATGACGTTACTACACGAGGCATTAATGACTGCGAATTGTGAAACGTGTTTCTCATTCCATTCAGGTAATCTATGGTTGTTACATCTCTCGCGAAGCTCTCTACAAAATTGTGGTCTGCAATGACCTACATACTACTCAATCGATTCATTTTCTTTCGACCGCGCTCAGTTTGCACATTATGGGCTCCTCGTGAAACGCAAAATGCGTTGAATAATATGGAAAATACACACGTGCCGCGTAAAATGGAGGTGATCAATTGAAACGTTATGTACGCAACCTCGTAGGACGATTTTGGATGTTTCATTAATATTTATAACGATATGTAATACTTGCGTTATCATAAATGCTCTTTGTTCTCATCGCCGGTGAGCGATACGCAATTTACTTGACTGAATTTTAGTCACGTTCAGCCCCCTTTAATAGTGTGTCATTGTGTGCCAATGCTGTACGGTGGCATAAAATATTTGTCCCCTATGGGTTCTGCATGTTAATGAAACAAAAACGTGTTTGCACGTGGAATTCATACCGCGCGCAGAGAGAAGCCTATTTCATTTTTTATCAATCAGTATGTCGTATGTCAATACATCACATGAATTTATTAATCTATCCCAGATTAAATTTTATAAAAAAAGTTATGATGTGCGTTATTGATATGAAAGTTATTATTATAAGACATAAGGAAAATCGTATATTTTTTAATATTTTTTATTAAATATTCATAGTTATAAATTTTTATGTAGCCTAAAACTAAAAAAAAATAAAATAAATAGCTATATCAAAGTTTGATCAATATCTAATAATAAATATATGTTGTTAAATGATAAAAATTAATTAATAATTTGTTTTATAAATAATTAAAATTTATTTTGTTATTATATTTTTATGTTATTTTATTAAAGAAGATACATATGTATATTTATATCTGCAGAAAAGTTTAAAAAAGAGGAATATTTAAATATTTATACTAATATTACAAGGAAATTTTTAAAACATTTGATATAAAATTTTATGTAATTTCTGAGTGTTTTTTATTCTAATATTGCATTCAATTAACAGGTAAGCAGATTGCTAATTTATATTACGAAAATAGAAAATCGCTATTTATAATTAAATTTCCTAATTTAAGTTAATTAATTATTTGTTTATTTAATTTTACAAGTATTAAAAAATATCGATTTGTAATTTGGAATAAAATATCAAGTACAATTATTCTATGTTTTATATATTATCAAGATGGTTTTCTTCAGATTATGTATTCTGACTATTCGAACTTTACCGCCAAATGTCAATGGTAGTCACGTGGGATTTACGCATGCGATGTTGTTACCTATCGTGGCAACGTTGCATGCAACGTTGCCGTTTCATCTAAAAATCACCGCGTGGCATAACCGCCGGGCGCCGGAGGTCGGAGCCGCCCGTTTCTCGTCCATTTTCTCCCGGGATCTCGACGAGTGAGGTTGCACGCACTTACGGTAAGCCCTTCTTTTCCTTTGTACATTAAGATATCGCGTAAATTTCTTTTGAAATGATGAATTTCGCGTTGCAAAATTAATTGATCGGCTCGGTAATATAATCAGGAGAAGAAATATGAGCGAATCTGTCGAAAATGCTATGTCGAACGACTCGAACGTGGGACACGTGGCGAAGCGTCTCACGCCGGAGGAAATCGATAGAATGCGGGCGCAGGATTCTCGCTTGGTCTCCGAATTTCGCGCGAATCAACTCGAGAGGGACGCGAAAAAGCATTGGGATTTATTCTACAAGCGAAACGATATCAGATTCTTCAAAGATAGACACTGGACCACGCGGGAATTTGATGAATTGCTGGGTTTGGGCGGCAACGAGAATCAAAATGTCCTCCTCGAGGTGGGCTGCGGGGTCGGCAATTTCATTTTCCCCTTGATAGAGGACGGATTGAAATTCCGAAAAATATTCGCGTGCGATTTATCCACGAGGGCGATAGAGCTGCTTAAGGTACATTCGCTGGATTATAATTGCAAATTAGCCCACGTTGCGTGCCGGTGCGTTAATAGAGGTTTCCTTGTAGAGTCACACGTTATTCCATCCGGAAACAATGCGAGCTTTTCAAACGGACGTTACGTTAGAGAATTGTTTCGCTGAAATTGATTGTCCGGTTGATGTTACGACTCTGATTTTTGCATTATCGGCTATTCATCCCGATAAATTTCACAAGTATGTTAAATGCTGATGCTACTGATTTTAATATTGTTAAAACTATAGTTCTAACATTTTTTGAAGGTTTTGATATGTCGAATTTACTAATTATCTCGTTTATTTAATAGAGTTGCCCAAAATATATACAACGTTCTTGGTAGTGGAGGAATCTTATTGTTTAGAGATTACGGATTGTACGATATGGCACAATTCCGTTTTAAACCTGGGCACAAGATTAGCGAGAATCTCTATATGCGGCAAGATGGAACCAGGTGATTTTATATTTTTCTTTCTGTTTTCTACAATCTATTTAAACAAATAAAAAGATATGATGTTTTCATAGTTCAATTGATTTATAATTAAAATGAAATAAATTTTTTTGTAATCTGATTTTGCCAGATAACGCAATTCTATCCTATCCTATCTGCTTAGAACATAGTAATGACAATATGTTATTTGGATCTTTCAGGAGTTATTATTTCTCTGTAGAACAAATAGCGTGCCTATTTGAATCTGTTGGTTTCGAAACATTGGACTGTGGCTACATACAGAGACGTACGATAAATTTAAAGGAAAACATTGATGTTCCGAGAATCTTTGTTCAGGCAAAATTCAAAAAATCTTGAATATGTAATAATGATAGTGGTAAGTCGTTTTGATTAAAATTAATGTTTGTACTTGTGATAATTTGTTCTAAAACACAAATAATTTTGATGGTTAATTATTCCATTTAGAATTTGAATTTTTGAATAAGAAATCTTTCTAATTTTTATATTTTAGAATGTATACGTGTGATTATTATATTTCAAAAGTCTGATAATTTATGAGTTTTATTTATTTACTGATATTTTAATGATGATTTTGTGACTTATCGGATTTAATGACGAATGTCCTGCAGTGCTGATTTTTTTGCTAATAAAGTTATTTTATTTTGATTTTTTAATTAATTTAGTAACAAATTTTAATTTTTTATTTGCAGATACTGTAGTTCAGTAACACTTATGGCAAACTGTATGGAAAATTTTAATTCTTAAATATGATCTAATGATATACAAAAGAAATGCATAAAATAACGCAGTCGACATCCAAGGTTTGTACTTGAGTTTTTATATAATTGAATGTGCAATTTCGAAAAAGGCACATCTCTGAAAAGTAAAATTTTTCAGGAATTTGCATAAAGATGTGTGGACGTAATTAGAGTATCTTAGTGAAAAAACTTATAGGCTAAAAAATGCGAGATGTGCCTTTTTTGAAATTACACATTCAATTGTATTTATATATTCATTTTTGTTAATAATGCGTGCGCATTGTACAATTACCATGATGATTTCATAGTTCAACTGAAATTACTTTGACGATAATTTAATATTATAGTCTTTCGCTCCTATCTGATATTAGTTATGTATTTATATGTTTTGAATGTCTCGAGTTTCAAATAGATCTAAAGACAACGTTATTTTGTATTTTAGACATCTCGGACGAAAACTCGAGAAAAAGGGCTTGTGTACTTTTTAAATATATGGTAAGTTTAAATTAATTTTTAATTTTATTAAATATTCTTAATGTATTTTAGTGATGTATATCTTTGTATATGTGAAAGATTAACCGTGATATATTTATACATATAATTCGTCACTACCGCTGAGAGAAAACTAGAAATTAATGTGTATATTCAAGTTAAATAGCTATAGCAAATAATTGTATTTTGTATATATTACAGAAGACATTACGATGGCTCCGTGTACAACCGATTGACTCACAATCAATCAGATCTCAAGTTTGATTCCGCTTTATCCGATGTACGTCTTGGTTTATGAAAGATTGATTAAAGAGTTAAAAGGAATAAAAGACTGAGGATTTTGTGGAACCCCTTTGGGAACAATAAATTAATATATATTGCAGAAGAAATTACGATTCTAAATATGAATAATGTTAGCCCATACAAATGTATATGGTAAGACTAATTATTTGTATCGCATACTTATATATATATTTTTCACTTAAATATACGCCATGATGATTTAATCATCTTCACCATCTTTCGCATGAATCGTTGTGATTATTTGATATTAGCTCTATCTGACATACAATTTTACTACTAATGTATTATATTTAAAGATATTACAACTTGATGAACCATGAATTATTTTATTTTTGCAGATCTGTTAATGTGCAATATGGTGTGAATATTGTGGCAGTACCAAACACAAATTTGTATTATGTTTTTGTTTTAATTTTATAAATAAATTTTTATTATGTATTATTGAATCTATATTCTTTCTCAACACCTTTAGCACAGTCTAATTCTTTATATCTATTCCTGTTATTCGAGTTTAAACAATTACAATATTGCTTCTAAAATTTGAACTTAGTACACTTCACTTCATGTTTTTAATTCATTAATACAACAGAAATGGAAGGCAAGTTAATTCTTAAGAGTATTATAGCGATTTTTCGCAAAGCAATCTTTTTGAAATAAAATTATAATAACTGTAGCTCGGTCAAAGTAAAAAGAACGCTACGTGAATGTGTTGGTGGGAAAATCTATATAAAATATTCTTTAATTTTATGATATATAAAAATAGATTCAAGTATATTAAAAAATAAAATAATTTTAAATAAAAGATGCGCGCACTTTCTTTTACACGGATGTGAACACGAGCGCAGAAAGTGGTTTTTCACGTAAAAGTGTACGAGCGTAACATTAACCTAAAAAAAGTCTTTTATAAATATATTATTTAAATCTGCTCCATCTACAAATATAGTGATATCGAGAAGTTACGCGCCAGCTAAAGATAATTTATATACTCTAAAGTTCAATTCTTTATTACTACAATTTAAAATTGAAAATTTTATTTAATAAAGTACTTTGTTAAAAAATAAATACACAAGATCAGTTCTACTACATTACAGTACTGGTTAATAATATTGCATCGAAACAGGGAAGTCATTATTTTAATAAGGAACATGTATGTGCATAAATCAAATTTTATTTTAATACTGTTATTTTATGCTGTGAGAAAAATAAAAAAACTTAATGATTAATTTTTGGACATATAAATACTGTTCTATTTATTTATATAATTTATTAAATGTAAAACTTCAAACGACTATATTATTGTTATTACATTAACGTAGATACGATGAATTACGTAGTATGAAACAGTAGGCACTGATCGCGCTGCTAGTAATCCAGTCTCAATAAAGCGCTTCTAGCATCAGAGCGTACAGCGATAAAGCTGTGCGTACAGAGATAGAGTTCTTTATCCAGTTCAGCCATGACGAAAGAGTTAAGGATTTTAAAACTTCACTATATAAGCATAAATTATCCTAAAATTAATAAAAACAAATGTATTGAAAAAGTCTAATGATGAACAATTTAAATAAGATTAAGATTAGCTTGTTGTTTTAAGAAACTTATCTTTGATTATATATTTTACATTAAAGTAACAGTATAAATTTAGAAGATGTGTTTGCATTATATGTTGCCAGAAATAATCATAGTGATTACTTAATTGTTAGCGGTTTATAACCAAAACTTGCATATGTAATAATTCAAAGAATTAAATGCACTTTTAACACTTGTATAATATTTATTATTTGTTTAATTTTCTCTCTCTCTTATCGGCACTATAGGTAATTTGTTAAATGCAGTTAATTGTATTTGACACACAATTGTATGTGGTTATATTACTGCTTATTAAGTACCGTTAATAAAATGTTATGAAAGCTGATTATATCGAAATTATATCGATAATCGTAACCTGGTGCTTTTCCCAGTAAACACCCCAATAAACATATGTTATTTTGCATGTATATTATTGAGTGAGAAATTATAACATAATGAAACTGATGCTCGGTGTTTATTGGGTTGAGAATTCAAAATAATATACAAAAATATTAATAGTAACCCAGTTTCTAAATAACAGCAATCTCATATCATACATATACGAATTACTTTATAACGTTTTTTCGCATTAGAACATAACAATGCGTGCACCATTTTATTATGATTTGTAGTTTTAATATTTAATATTTTAATATTTGAACAATGATTATATTATTTAAATTTATTTAAACATATTATTATGTATTATATGTTATATTATATTATTAAAAGCTAGTGTTTAAAATTTTTTATTGGATTATATGTTACTTACAGTAGACATTATATAAGTTTTTAGAGTATACGTGTATAAATCAAAATCTATTTTTAACTCGCTCTCCATCAGTATTTCTTATTCTTATCGCATTTCTGAAATCTTTTTATATTTATTTAATTTTAGTGTTTTTTTAGTTTTAAAATTATAATAAGTTTTAAAAAAATCATATAAATTTACGAAATTTTGGCAAATGTAAAATTTAATTTTTAACATATATTAACACATAATCTAAACGAGTTCGTTGCAGCAATTTCCTTTTTTTCCTTCGAAAGTAGTAATATAAAAAATTTACCTTGAGATACAAATGTGAAGAATAAATTATTGAAATTTTTTACGAAATCGGTAATAAAAATTGCACATTCTATGAATGCTAATTATCGATACAACTGGATGAGCTCATTTTGTGTCATCATTTATCGACCTATAATTTAATATCTTTCTCACGATTATGAACGGGTGATGCTTTAATCACTTTGGTGCTTAAACATATAATGCTATGCGTATTACTGAAAGTGTGTTTGTAAGTACAACGTTCGAGACATTTCTAAACTGTCCAGATATTCCATGCTTTGAACTTATTAATTAAATAAATTGATACCATATTCAAATTAATTTTACTTCGACAGACTTTGCAATGACACGGGAAATATAATTTATGATTTGATATAATTTATTAATAAATTTGCTTTATATTTACTTTATATATTTTGCTAATACGTATATCTAATTGAGAAATTAATTAACAGCAAAAACGTTGAAATTGATCGAAAATTTTTAAATAATAGTAATTCTTTCTTTATAATTGATTATTTCCTAATTAATACGAGGTTACATCTTGTGTAAAATATGAATCAGTTAAGGAAAATCAGAGGGAGAAATTAGTTGTGTAATATCCTGCATTGCATAATAATGATATGAACGTTGTGCAAATCGTATATGATGTCGTTTATCTTAGTGACATTCTTTTGCCTCATATAAATATTTTATTTTGCAAGACGCCACAATAAAGACGCGAATAAAACTACGCGTCTTTCGACGTAGACGAAAAATGTGGGCAAAAAATCAGAGAGAGATATGATGTCCAACAATCTAGACTGTTAATGAGTCGATCGCTTTCGCGTTTATAGGACTATAAAACGTAGCAGTGAAGATGCTAAGCCTAATATTAATCGTTATTTTATGCAAGTGCGTCATTTTTTGCTGGTTATATAGTATATATGTAAACTAAAATTTTAATAAAATGCAGTGCAATCGACGCCGAAAAGGATATTTTTGTTTAAATATTGAGGTCATGAGACTAACCACTCTAATTTAGAAATGCAATTATGCGGCGTCACCTTAAAAAAATATCTGAAATATTGTATCTTTTTCAAGTGATTCGTGGGCTGACAAGTATCCTTGATCTTTTCTGTCAGGCGGATATATTTACAGATTCTACCCGTTCTATTAGGTCGAAGCAGAATCCAAAATTAGGTATGACTACTGAAAATAGTTCCGTAATCAATGGATGAAATATGAACACGAAACTTTTTATTTATTACTATGAACGGGAAATGTAAATTCGATACAACACAATGCACGTGTCAGGAATCTTAAGCTGGGATTCATGAGCAGAAAGTAATATCTATGAGTACATCTCATAACATTTTCTTTAAATAAAATAATATATTCTCGAAAATGCTTTTACGCGAAACTACGTCTCAGTTTACGTTTATTTATTTCGAGTTATTATTTATATATAAAATTAAATATCATAAATATTTGCAAAAGAAGGCTAGTTCAAGCGAACGGTTTCAAACAGAAACAATTTTGTACATTTTAATTAATTAAACGTGCGTACATCAACTGGATATTTAATTAATTTTTGCAAATGTAAATATGAGCAATCGCATAACAGAATTTGCACCGCTATAGTAAATGTAGCTATGTAACATATAAACAGTCTCGTTGGGATTTTAAGGATTAATTTGTGATGTCTAATAAATCCACATTATTTAGAAATAGTAAAAAGATTTCATAAACCATTTTTGGAAACAAATTTGATGAAAATAATACTATTTATAACTTTACAAAGTTATAAATCTTCTTTCTAGCACACCTTTATTTCATCGAGTATTTGAAAAATTATTGGAACAATTTTAAAAAGCATTCTAGAAATATTTGCTGAAAAATGTTCGAATGTCGCAAGGTGAAACAACTGGATGAGCCAGACATAATAAATTAACTTCATTTGGCTACAATTTAGCCAAAATTGGCCAAATATTTTACTTGAATTTTTCCTGTTATATTTTGGATCGTGGTTTATTCAAAGTGATTCAATCACGAAACCGGTATTATAATAATCACATTTGTATAATTAACTATTATAGTTAAAATCTTTCTTTGTGCTGTTAACATATACAATAATTTTATTTTTTCCTCTTTGCGCAATACGATAATTTATAGTTTTAAAGAAAAATTGTGTAATTACGCTAAAGTACGTGAGGTACGCATAATTAAGCAAAAAAATTACACAGAAAATCTTATTAATAAAAATACTCAAAATAGAGTTTACAAGTGTCTAATAAAGTTTCAATATTTCAAATACATTATTTCTGACATTTTATCAATTACAATGCATTCACAATAATAATTCATGAAAAGTTTTGCTGTAATTAAATCTATTATTTTAAATGACACGTGAAACATTTGAAGAATAAAAACACAGATACACTGCAAATCCAAGTGTGTTATTTTAACCAAAGCTCTTCTTACACATTTCTTGCGTTTTAAATCACGTCATTTAACACAGTTAAACATATTAACTTTTAATATGATTAAACGTGTTAATTTAACACAAAACATGTAAAACGAACTTTAGTCAAATGTGCCATTTTTAAACGTTTATACGTGTAGAAGTAACACTTGGATTTACAGTGTACTCGTATACATATACGAGATAAATATTAAAATATACGCATGTGTGTATTAAAATGTGCACATAAATGTGCATATATAAAACTGTAAATGGAATTTTATTTTGAAATCTGACTAAAGTGAGCTTGACTGATGGGCAATAATTAATTTGCGCCTTAAGGTTTACTGAGCGTGTATCTAGGAAGCGAGCACGGCAGGCAGTAATAATTATGTCATCGTTATAAAACTTTCCTCCGTCTTTGGCAAGTTGCCAAGGTCCCTTGCCTCACCCGAGTTCTATCCATCGAAGGTATGCGAGTACATCGCGGAATACGTGAACGCGATGCCTTGTCAGATCGCGCCGACAAGGATGGTGATAGCGCACGACCGCGAATTACATATGAGAAGGCGTAAACAATATGCGCCGTATAACAACCCCATGCAACAGTTCGCAGGCACACGCGACACACACAAACACACACGCGCGCGCGCGCACAAACACACACACACACACACGCATTCACACACGATCTGGTGCGTCCCCGTGCATTGATCAATCGGCTATAGTGACGCATGCAGAATACTCGGACTGTCGGGTATATAAGCCATCCGCCAAAAAGCAGAGGCATCACATTCAGTTACTGTTCATCAGCAGCTGATCTTCCAAAACTTCTAATCAACTATGAAGTGCGTCTTCGTAAGTATTCAGATAGATCATTCTTCAATATCTTTGCATGCATATTAATAGGATAAAAGCACCGTTCGGACAAATCGCTTGAGAATTTATAATTTTCTGCATTTTGGGGCGATTAGTTGAGCCTCGGCGCATTCATTATCGCGCCTGAAATATTTTGATAGATTTTCAAATTAATTCACTCACCGATCATAATACTCCGATTACAGTCTAATTACCACATTACCGCGATTATCTGTAAATCGATCGGCTTGAGTTTGGCTGTATGTTCCGGTTTCAGATCATGCTTATCATCGTATAATACTGTAATATTCTAGTGTTTCTCCGATAATTAATTATCAGAGAATTTGCTTTTCTTTAGAATCTCTTGCTCCGGCAGGTTTCTCTCCCTCCGGAGATTTGTTTTGATAGTTCCAGTTACTCAACGAATATAAAATAGCAAACTTAAAAAATGTATTTAAAAACTTGCTAAATATTTCCTCTTTAGAATTGTAAATTGTATCTTTGTTTAACTTGGATCTTCGCAATCTTACCTCTCACCTTATTTAGCATAGCTATTAAATATTCTTACATTATTTAAATATATTTATACATTATTTCATTTACGAACGTGTGTGATATGTAGCGAACATATCAGCGAGTATCATAAAATTCTATTGAGCATCTATTACAATAAAGAATGCATTATAAAATTTTGTTTCTATTTTTGTTTCTATTTTCTTATATGTCACAATTATTAATAAAAAAAATACAATAACTCTTTAGAGATTCAGATATATAATATTTTTAAGATATATTTCCTAACATCTTACAGTAAATTAATTTTATTCGAAAATACATCCTTCTTGTGTTAATTGAAAAAACGGCTTGTTTATCTATAAACCAAGTGTTAACTTTTAATTTTTATTTTGTGCCACGTCGACTGCGGATTAATCAACGCGGATTAATCACTTTCAGGCTATCCTTTTCTTGGCTCTCGTTGCCGTCGCCATTGCGGCCGCGGTGGAGAAGACGTCCGAAGCTGAGGAAAAGGCACCGCAGGCTGCCGATCTCGGCAGAGACAAAAGAGGTCTCGCGTATTATACACCATACGCATATGGCGCATACTCACCGTACGCTTACAGCTCACCGTACGCTTACAGCTTGCCGTACGCGTACTCTCCGTACGCCTATTACCGTTACAACTATCCCTACATCTATTAGTTTGAAACGTCGACATGCACAGTGACTCAGAATTAAAACGGGCATAAGACGAAAATCTCATGGAAACCTCATTACCTCATGGAAATCTCATGGAAGAAGTTTTGCTCTCGGACTTTATATCCAATCGATCCCGAAACTCTTGGTGTTTGCAAATATGATCGCGTTTGAGTTTTTTGACTGTCGATTTCTTTTTCCTATATGCTTATTGTAATAAAACTACGCTACATGTGAATGAGATAAGTTTTCTCTGTTAATTACCCTCCTTTTATCCTCCCTTGTTATAACCTTGTTATTTTCCCAAAACTTGAAACGTAATTTTTGTTTCCAAGATAATATCTGATAATCGCGCGTACGCGCAATAAGCTATTAAACTGCAAGCTATTTTATTATAATTTGCAAAAGCAATATTACAAATGAAAAAGCGCGGGAAGAGAGAAAGAAATAATTCATGATTTATTGTAATTGGTAATTTTCGGTGGAATATTACGCTCTGTTTGGAATAACGTTGCGTCCTTAAGCTGCCGAAAGAGTTTATTAAAGGGGTCATTTGCGCTTATTTTATATGAGATACATTACTAGATAAACAGCTCGCGGTAATTACGGCGGATAATTAACAGGAAAGCATTGCGAATTTTAATGATTGCCAAAACGCGTTAATTCGGATCCAATTTGTGTAGCTGCCGAACGTGCGCACAGCCGTTGTGAATAAATTAATGGCACAGGACATTTTCATAGTCAAATCCGGCGAGTTCATCGCGCATGCATTTGCGGTTTCGTACGAGTGTTTAATGTATATGATCGATAACGCGGATTTTCAGATGCGATGTAGGAAGATGTCAAACGGATTGGCGTCATTGAGAGACCGAATCTGCAACGAAATGAGTTGAAGCTCATAAATGCGTATATGGGGTTGCATTAGCGTCGCGTCTCATCATTAGCCGCGAGTATTGACATCGCGGTTTCATATGTGGCACATGAATTTCGTCAGAATATTACGTATCTATGTAGATGGCAAGAAATCATATTGTTAGGAATATGATCTTTCTACGTAATATCTTAGATAAAAAATAGAATAGGTAATCTTTTTCAACAATTGTCGATCAATACATACTCTTTACCGTAACTGTAGAGAGAAACTCACAGGAATAATTTTGTTTAAATAAAATACTAAAGATTGATTCTTCGTCTATTAATTATTTTTTTAATGATATATTTTCGATTATATCATTAAGTAAATTAATTTAATTATCGATTCAATTATATAAATTTAGTTACTATAAAGCTTTTTATAAATCAATATCGGAAATACAATTAACAATTGATACAATGTTAGAAATAATATATCTGAAGTATAAACGTTTTTTTAGATACTCGTATACTTTATTAAGTATTATTTTCAGAAGATATTGCTTGATTGATTTATAATGATGATAATAAATTATATAATAGTTTGTAAAACATGAAGTTGATTATCTTCTCTAAAATGACTGATAAAAAAGTTTACATATAAACTTTGATATGTCGCGAAGCAATATTTCTTGACGGAATCTTTGAACAAACCTTAGCACACCTTGAAGGCAAAGATAATCTAATTAAGAACATCTTAAGGATCGTCCGAAAAAAGTGTAAGAGATCATTTCTGTTCTCTAGCATATTTACTGTGTGTTTCATGGATCTGCGCTGTTCGGTACATAATTAAGTCGCACTTTTCCTTTCAAAAGTTATCTGTTTATGGATTCAGTTGCCGAAGAAGGTCGACGAGCGCGACGTTATCCAATCCTCGATTTCTGTTTCGCGCGACATTAAATCGTGTCCGCGTAATACATGCAGGCGTCGGAACTGACACGGCCGCGGCGCGGCGGTTCGATTTACGCATAATCTCGACGCGTTACACAATACATGTCCCTACGGAAACGGGAACGCTTATTCCGTATTCCCCGAGATTTCGCCCGTTCCCCCGTTGACTTTCACTGAGAGACCCGGGCAAGGAGACTGAGAGAGGAGACCGAGCGAACGTGACCGGAATGGCAGGACGGAGTTGTCCACTGCGTTTCGCACGACATCGTCGCGCCGTCATGACCTCGTCGGAAGTTCACGATGCTCGTTTCCTTTACCGTATTTCCCTATTGAGGACATAATTTACGGACGGATGCGAAGCGCGCAGAGTGATGATCGCAAATTTCGACTTTTTATCCGCTCTTTCATAGGGTGCATATATAAAGCAAAATGCATATCACCTCAACGATGAATGAAGCGGTATGAAGTATTTGGGCGAAATGCGACCCGCGTTTACATTTTCATTAAAATATTGCAATTTTAAATGTCTTTCCTCTGTGCCTTCTCGTAGAAATTAATAGGCCAATTTGGTCTTTCACAGACTTTTAGCCGTTTTTCATTATTTTTTTTTCGCATAGATTTATTGGGGAAAGTTTTTAGAAAGATCAGATAAGTTTTTTTTCTTAATTCCGCTAAATTATGCGCAATGTTATTAATGATTCTATCACTTGAGCTCCAAAGAGCACATCCTTTGATTCAATCTAGATGTTTTTAAAAGATTGTACGTCTAATTTTAATGTACAATAAATAATACACACATGCATGCTAATAGAGATCATTACAGTATAGTTATGTATCCTTTTTCTTAACCAAAATCTTTATTGTAAAATTTTTTATTCTTAAAGAAACATATATTTATATGATGATCACGTTATCGAGAATAACAGACTTCGGTAAGCCGCGGCTATACGAAATTTCGATTACAGGACCGCGCTGAACATACGACGTACTTTGCATCGATATGTATAACATCACGAATCCGTAACAGTATTGCTTAAGTTCGATCGATGAAAGCCCGTAAGAAAGTCTATTATAATTCGTGGATGGTCGCGACCCGATTGTATTTATACATGTGCTGGTATGGCCGTAGCCTTAGTCGACGCGGACTTGTCCATCCTCAAACAAATTAGTTTCTTGAGTAGAGCAGTCTAATTCAATGTTGAGACCCCATGGGAAATAGCGTAGTTTCCTGTTGAAGAAGATAGCTGAATTGCCTCAGTGCAGTGTTAAGTGTGCAAGAAGGATTATATGTACGAATTTGAAAATGCGGATACTTCTGGTATGTAATAGTATACAGTAAATAAAATAATAAAACATTCTTTGATGTGGATTATCGTATTGTCTATTCACATATTGATTCGCCTATATAATGTAAAATTTTGATCTTTTAATTTTTGTAAGAAACATAGAATTTCATTACGTTAATATTTTATGTATAAATTGATTGTAAGAAAATTTTTTACATATAAGAGAGATAGGCAAACTAATTTATAAATAAATAATATAATATTCAAACAATGTTTATGCCTTTTCTTTGCAGTTATAAAATTTCATTATTTTAGAAAATTAATTTAAAAAATATATTTAGATAAAAATCACTTATAAAATAATTACATTTTGTGATTTAGCTAAAATATTTACTTTGTTTCTCTTATATCTTTAGTTTTATATTAAAACGTTTGGCTATCTTTGTGTAAGAAAATCTGATTTACTCTTAGGTCATCTACGTTCTCATACTGGTGTTTTCGCTGACTCAAGCTAAGCAGAAAGCCGAAGTGCAAAAGTCACAAGTCACGAAGCTGGAAGTAGTGAATCTCGGCGAGATCGAAGTTGAATCCAATTTCAAGCAATCCGACGTCCAGCGAAAACGAGAATCCGGATACACCTATAACAGGCCGAATCGTATCTCTTCAAATGCTCGATTTCGCGTCCAAACGCATCCGTCCAGAAGTCAAATCGCATTCAAGGTCCCTGGCCAGTTAAGCAGACCATTTACGCAATATGGGCCGCCAATTCACTCAACGTCCGGTTCGACGACACACGGATATCATGCTCAGCAGCAACATCGAGACAAATTGCAGCACGACGTCAGTCAACAGCAATCGATCGGTTTCGGTGGAACAGGACTGATGGAACAGGAAGTACCAAGCCCGATCAGAAACGTTGATTTCGCGGAGGTGAATCCGATCGCTAGTCAGAATGACGAGCCGTTTGGCATGAACACCGCTAATTATTTACCGCCACAAAATCAGAAACTGCCGACTTATATTTCAACGGACAATTTCGATCCGCAACGCATTCCAGGTCGGGGACAAATTCACGATACGAACTTACAGAGCCAGAACTTCGTGCAGGCTCAAAATCAAATTTCTGACGCCGCGCTTTTCCTGGCCGAGAACGCGCAGGCGATCCAGCAACTTTACGGCGCACCCGCGAGCAATCAGGACTTCGCGCCCAGCAACGATCAGTTTCAGGATGTCGGCAATCCGATTCATAATCTGAACAGTCAGTTCGAGAGTACTTCGCAGAGCCCTGAGGGATTCCGCGGCACGTTACCGTCGTATGCGTCGGGAACGCTCGATCCTCGAAACACTCTAGAACAAATTCAATCTCTAGAAAAAGATCGTTTGATTGTCCAATTGCAGCAGGCCCTTGCTCAAGCTCAGACTAACCCGAACGTGGCGAGAAGATATGCTCAGAACCAAGCAGGTTTCATTCAGAATCAGGAACTTCTCGCCTCTATAAGCCAGCAAGTGAACTCACATATTCTTACAACGCCGCAGTCTGCAGCTTTTAGTCCTGGAAACACCGCGTTCAGTCAGTCTACCTTCCTACCAGAAACTACGGTCAATCCCATGAGGTTTCCCGTTAACTACGGTATTCCAACCACTACGCAAACTCCGACTACAACAACTACGGCCGGAATACTCACTACGCAATCCCCATTGCAACCATCCAAGAGCGATGGTATTGCCCAAGCAGTGTCATCGCACCCCGCTTCTAACCAGCCTGGTTCTTCCACGACCGGATCTCCCGCGGGAATCCCCCTTTACGGTGGATTTGTACCGTCTTTCATCACGGGAACCAACTTTCCCAGCTACGGCACCAGCATCTTTACATCTGGCTCCGTCAGACCTGTGCAATCCCCCGAAACATCGCCCACCCATTTCGGGATACCGATTCCCACGGAACCGCCTCAGAAACCGGTACCGGGATCGGCACCCTCGACCCCAGCGACGACAATACCTTCTCTCTCGCCCGCCTCGTCATCAAATCGACCGGGGTTCGCTCTGACACCGGTGGCCCTGCCAATTCATCCGATACGACCTGTTGCTCCTTTCGCGACACCGGTGCGTCCGATCGTCGCTCCCCTGCTACCAGCGTATCCCGCGCAAGTGCATCCGGCGCAAACCGCCCCGGCCGTATCATCCAGCGTGCAGCATACGTTCAGCGTGCAGAACGCATTGATCAATCCCGCTCTCTATAAACCGGTTAAAGCGGTCTATCCGGTGTACTACTATCCCGTGGACATCGCTTATCAGCTGCAGAAGCCTACGTCGCCGAGTTATCCGTGGAATTACGCGCCTTCGTACACGACGCAGACGGGACCGGCGAAAATATGGAAATGAGACGTTCAAATGGATCGCAAGTCGATCCGCGGTGCTGTGGCTGACTGTCTACTCGTGTGGAAAAGGGAGAAGGAGAGATTGAAGAAGAAAGTACGGTAAAGAAGAGTCACTATCGCAATCGTGATTTTGATGTGCTAATGACGCGGCGCTACATCGTCTGCTAAACTTTTTCACATAAAGATTTCATTTTCTTCTTTTAGTAAGAGTTTTAAGCTGACAAAAAGAATTGCGCTCTGCTAATCATCCGTTACAATAGGGAGTTTTATTTGTTTCTGTTGACATAGAACATTCTTTGTTTCTGAATTGCATTGTTATGAGAAAATTATAAGTAGATGCACGATTTAATTTAAATTTAGCTCATATTTATCTATTAGAATTTCATACATTCTAGCAAACTATTAATTTTTGTTTGATTTATCATGAAAAATAACGTAGAGTTAAATGAGAAGTTTTGTATAATTGTAACAGATACATTTTCAACATTTGTAGTTTCTTTACAATTTTATAGACAGTCGTGTATACAGAAGTTTATACGTACCTATATAAATTCGAATAACATACATGACTCTAATCTGACAAAACTTATAATTTCTAATATTTTAAATTTTAGAAAACGAGATTATTTTTCTCTTTCTCTAGTTCTTTATATAACGTTTAACATACTTAGCCTACTTAAGTTTCTCGCTATTGAAGAATAACTACGATGATTCTTCAATACACGCCTCATACATCCGCTGTACCATCTGTCATTGCGTATCCGCTGATTTCGAAATTCATCATTGAGAAAGTGACATTATGCAGGTGATAATTAGCGCAATTGTCTCATTGGAATTGGGGTACTGTGACAAGAATGTCAAGTGAGCGTTTCTAAGCGTCACTCGTCGTTCCTAGTTGTCGATCACACGTAGAAAAAACTTCGCCATTCATACGAACGTTTGAAGTGTTAGTTATAGAATAGGGATATTCGTTGATTTTTTTAATATAGTGTTCCTTTCACTTTGTCCTATTGTTGGATTATATAAGTTAATGTATGTATGTGTGTGTGCATATATAATAATATTGTATATATTATTATATATACATAATATAATAAATAATTTGCTGATCGATTTAATAATATTAGTATATAAATGATGATTGCGGAATCTCATACGTACTTCTTCTGCCGTCTTAGATTTATCTTAGATTTATCTACATATGTAAATACACATGTTCTATTTATTTTGTCAAATAAATATTTTTTTTACTTTGGAAAGTGTTTCTTCTTTGATAGCGTCTCGTTTTTAGTTTAATGCTTACAATTAATCTACTTTCAATCAGGTCAATTAACAAAATCGATATTGAAACGTAGTTTGAGCATGAGCAGCACTATTAAGGAACTGCAAACGGCTGAACACGTAAATATTTTTTTTACTTTGGAAAGTGTTTTTTTTTTATAGCGTCTCGTTTTTAGTTTAATGCTTATAATTAATCTACTTTCAATTAGGTCAATTAATAAAATCAATATTGGAATGTAGTTTGAGCATGAGCAGCACTATTAAGGAACTGCAAAATGGCTGAACACGTGCGTCTAATTATAAAATGCATTATACATAACGTTAATCTAATTGCAGATAGACCGTGATATGCATGTGGCGCATCTCAAATTATCGCGATGGAAAGCTGAACCGAGGAAATGAATTACTGCCACTTCCGGCCTCGAATGGATCTACGCGAGGAAACTCTCACCTGTGCATTCGTGACCATCGGGCACGATCCTCATCGCCACGCCGTTCGATTCTGACCTCGAAAGTCATTCGATAATTCCAACCACGGTCAACGCAGTCGGATTATCCGAGCAATCCTAAGCATGCATGACGTTTGCTCGCAGGTGTAGGAGATTCCCGGACGATTTCGTAATCCTTCAGGTTCTTATTAGGAGATGAGGAAAGACACGTGCTGCTGCTGTCAAGTTCTAGATCATCGAATGGAATCCACAGATCGAGATCTTCAGATAACCGAATAGAGGCGCTTTATATTCATTTAACAATCTGCTGACGCTTTCTAATCCTTTCCGATTATCTACGCTTCTTTTTCTTATTGAAATCGATAATTCCTCTTTTGATCGCTAAAATTTTTAAAATCAAAATAAGATAAAAATGCATTACTTTCTATTGTGAATATTGTTAATATTGTTAATCACGTTTTATTGTTATTTACGATGTAAATGTGAAACATATATTTTTGAAAAAACGATAATTGAATTTATTCAAAATTACAGAGAGAATTGAAGAAGTTACTGAGTTCACTTGGAAAAAAAGATGAAATTTCGTAAAACACCTATTACAGGAGACAATAAAGCAGTATCTATGCATCTGTAAATCATTTTTATTTATATAGCACGCATATGTGTATGCATACAGGTTACTGCATCTCCCTTATGTTAATATTTAGTCGGTATTCTCGAGGAAGTTTCTAAGTGAAACATGACTAAATCGTATACCGTTACGAAAACCAGATTTCCACGTAGTTTCCCCAAACGTAGTTGCGAGCGGTATTTGAGGGGTCAAGCATGCACATCTCGAGCCCGGAGAATCACGAAGTCACCGAGAGTCTCGAAAGCGTGGCTTGACCCTGAGAGCCCAGCAGGCTTGTCGCATTAAACCTGTTATCAACTCACTTTCCGCAAGTGACCCATATTCTACTGCCCGGTTTCCGTTTTATTCCGCTGCACTTTTGTCACTTTATTTTATACGAACTCGCATAAAGTTTCTCGGACATTTTGAACCCTATTTAAGAAATCTTGCATTTTTCATTGTCAGTTATATAAATTGCTCTTGTTACACACAAACTAGGCAATTACGTTCTTTTTATTCAATACTCTTTCAATTATTATGGACAGTTAAATACCAACTGTTTGAAATAGTCTAATAGCGAGAAAGCGAGAGTTCCGGCAATGCTCACGACTAAATTAACAAGAAAGACGAGGAAGTAAGATGTAAAGAGATTTATAAACATATAAAAAAAAGTGGGAAGCAGTGGGAAAAAGTTAGTGGGAAAGTGAAGGAATTGTTGAATATGAAAAAGGGAAGACAAATCTTAAGTGACAAGAAAGTAAAAGACGAAAGTATTGCCAGGTAATGGATTTAAAGAATCATACGTTCTAATGAAAGAGTTAAGTTGAGTGCGAAAAAGGAGTTGTGTGTGACGGTGCAAGAAAATTATAATAAAATGATGAGAACGCACGAAAAGCGAAAGCGATTTTAAGATGACTTTTATCCGAAATCATATATGAAACAGAATAATGAATCACTGACATTGGCACATTTCCAAGCAGCGTTAATTCTAAATGGTTTTCTTGATAAATGATAGAATCAATTTTCTTCTAAGACTAACTTCTTTAACAATGTTCTAATATTATTTTATCAATTTATTTATATACTAGCCTTTATTTAAAAATATATAAATTGCTTAATACAACATAAATGTATTATATGTACTTTTTTAGTATAGTTTAATACTGTGGCTACTTATTTTTTTTTATCGAATAGAGTAGATTTTAAATTCTATTTTAAAAGCAATATTTTTGAATAAATAAAACGTTTTTTATTTAGTTTTATTTCTATATTTAATTAAATTTTAAATAAAAATATTTCATTATATTTTATTTAACTTTTATTAAAATTATAATTTTTTTCTAACAATTTCAAATTTTATAATAATATAATTATTAATAATAATTTTTTAATTAAATTTGAAATATATTGTAGATTACTCTTAATATATATAAATAAAATAATTTTAAGATAACTATGAAATATTTTATATTTTGTATTTATATTAAATTTAATTTAATTTAGAAATGTACATAATTCTCAAGAAGATTAATAAATTTATCTATCTAATTTAATTTAATTTAATTTAATTTCAATTTAAGCGGAAAGAACTAATATTACTAACAAAATCTGAGCATTTCCTTGTTTGTGCGGAACATTGTCTTTAATGCTTCGTTTTAATGCGTGTTTTACACAATAATACATATGCACTATACTTAGCTCTTATCAAGATGTTAACGGCGTGACAGGTATATTATTCGCAGCACACGAAAGGTGCGATAATATCTGACGTTTAAGGATACTATATTACGCATAGATATGCACTGTATAAAGATAAGGCAAAGCAGTTTTCGATGCAGCTATCTCATCACAAGTTTTATTTGCGGTTATTAATTAACATGCATTGATGATATATTTGCATGTACATATATAAATGTTAATAAGCTTGCATAAATATATACAATATTTACAGTCGCCGCATTGTAAATCTTAGCAAACATATAAGTTGAAATTAGCATTTGGATAAATAAGATACAAAACTAATATCCATATTAGAAAAAATTATAAAAATGACATAAAATGATTGCATACATTTTAAATATAATTTTATCAAAATTAAAACTGAGGCATTATCAACTTATCATCCTTATTTTTCTTATCTTCTATCTCTTTTTCGCGGAAGTAGTCCGCGACGATTGTCTTAAGAATTCTCGTAATTCCTTGCCTTTTCAATTGGATGATAGCCGTAAGCAACAGTCTCTTTCTTCATCTTGCTAGTGAAAGTAAAACGATCGAATGTTTTCAGATGCTATAATTTAGCATGTTGGAAGAAGTTAGATGTATTGCTGAGAGAATGGTCACAATTATCTTCTTATGACTGCGTTTATTTCTGTATGTACGATGATATGTTTATTATACAAAAGCGCAAAAACGAGGAACAAGATGTGGTAACTTTTTCATTAATTTTCCTAAACGTTTATTTTACTTTCGAATATCGATCAGCTTTCAATACATGGCAGTAGCTCATCTTTTTTCATACGCGCGGTTCAAAAATATTTGTCAGCGAGGGTCAACATCTTTCACGTCCTAATTCTTTGTAAAAACTGATGAACGAAGCTAACTTGCAAGCATAATACTTGATGTTGCGAGATGTTTATCTTACACTTTCTTGCAATCGATATTAATTGTAAGATAAAGTTCTCTATATTTCTCTAAATCCAGAACACGGAAGGAAATGTTTAATACTGAAGGCAGATACTAAATACGTAGCAAATCTAAGAAACTTTAAAATTTTGTTAAATATTTTGCTTTGTTTTGCTTAAAATGCACGGCGGGGATTTGGCTTTAACTTTTACAATAAATAATGGGATTAGCAGATCTATTTTATTTTTTTGCTGTATCTCTTTCTTACAATTAGATACACTGGTTTTTGCATTTTACGACACAAGACAACTGAATTTCAATAAGTTGATAAAGAGATTTAAAATTTAATTTAAAAAATAAGTATGCTAAAGATAAATTGAATAAATGCACGCACGAGAAAATGCTTTATCTTTTAAACGCAATAATTCGTTTAACAGCGTTTTTTGTCAGTTTGACGTGAGCCGTGAAAACGGCAGTTATAAACGTTCCAGAAAGCTACACGCTGATAGAGTTTAATGCATGAAAGAAACATTACCAGAAATTAAATATCCGGAAGAATAAATAAATAATTAAAATTTGGACAAGAACTATACCGGAATTAAGAATACCGGAAAAGTAGATTTCTAAAATACAAAATTATAATATAATCATTTATAACTATTATTATTTTGCCTTTCACTAAGCGTAATTAATAAAAATAATTGCTAGAATTTATGAGTAATAACGGCACACGTATTATGGCTTAATTCGCGACATATGTTGTACTTACTTTCTTTGGATTTGATGCATCTCTTGCGAGTTCAAATCGAAAGTGAAGAATGCAAAATGATTTAGATATTTTTCTGTGATTCGGGCAAATAATAGCGTTTTCTCTCGATGCTTGACCAGACAGTGCTTCCGCCTGTCTATAGTAATTAATTGCACTGAAGAATAAAACGAAATAAAATATCTTGAAGAAAAAGTGGAATAGAGTGACTCGACACTATAGTAACTCTTATCGCATTGAAATTATAGATCGCCAGTTCTGCAAGAGTGTAGTAATTAAAAACGGCTTAGCGTATCCTACTACCGCTGGCCTTCCGAGATTGTCTTGATTAGGATTGCACGATATCGCGTATGGAAATATACAAGGAAGAATACAAAAGAGCCTGTAATTGAAAATATCCCGAACAGGAAGTACAGTAGGTAGTTGACCTTTAGGTACTTTCTCGAAATGCTTTACAAGTAGGGGAAACAAGAAATAAGGGGCAAAATTTTAATTTGTTACGCAAGAGAAGCGATAAATCTTTTCGAATTTCTTTATGTGTCCACTCGGTTGACACTGTTCGCCAATGAGTTTCGAGTTCCTCTTTTTTTCATTTTTTTTCAGACAGGTTGTTAATTTCTTCGAGAGGATGTTGTAGTTTCTTCTATTTGGCGAGGAAAATATTGCGGAGGAGGATTGAATGGGCTCGCTTTTCACCCATAGGTGAGATCTGATTTGCAAAACACACGCGAGTATTTCCCGCGTCGCAGTTGACTATACTATCTGTGCCAAACGGCGACGATGCGACGCGCTCGACATATCAGCGCGGGGAGCCTTACCTTCACCTAGACCTTTCTTTTGCCGTATGAGAGGGGATCCATGTATAAAACCTTTCTTCTTGCTAGCAATGGCACCAGAGACCATAATATCATTCGACCACTGGCTGCTACCAAGTTACGGGAAAGTTACAAGAGCAACCGCATTTCATCAAGCATGCGGTTTATTGTAAGTATCACATCTTCACGAGTGTTCGCGACAATTTACAGCTTTAATTTCTGTCTATACCAATCAGTGTTCTATTTCTGTGTGTGTTTTATACGTATTATGTCCGTAAAATTACAATTTTTTGCGTGCAAAGTGTTTAACAAAGTCGATGACTGCATTAAAACTTTTTATTTATTAATAAATATTCAGATAAGTAAATATTTAGAAATTATAAAGTTTAATATTGAAGCTTGAAAGCTTACAAGAAATTAATCTCTTAAAATTAAAATTTATAGCAAACAGTTTACACAAAAATATCATTTGCATAAAATTATTATTATAATAAAACCATTTGTGTATTGTAATTTATTTATTAAGTATTATAATAAATTTAATTATGTATATAGTTTATAGCTTTTTAGATCTTTTAGCACTTTTTAATAATTATTAATTATATGTATATATTATCCATAATCTCTAGTTATAGAAGAACTAAGAGAGAATTGAGTTAAACTAATTAATTACCTATTATTACTTAAAATCTTTATACTACATAACATTTTATAAATTTAATGTTAAATTTAAAGCGCTTGTATCTATCTAGTTCAAACTGCAATTAAATACTCTCCTACGAATATTAAACTAAGTGATAATAACACTAATTATTACAATGTAGTTATTATGTAACTGCTCATCTAACCATTGTTAGGTTACATATCACATTAATAATCGACTATTAACTCCAACACTGCATAATTATGTGATTGGTCATTCAATTAATATCCATATACTCCGCTGACTAATTAGAATTGATCTGCTTTTTGTTCAGTTAATACGACTATTCATAGCTTAAGCAGTTTAATTATAATTCGGGTAATTGGCCAACAATTTTGTATTCTACTTTCACGCAAACCGATCAAGCCCATGAAAGTGGGTCACCCTAGAAAGTGATGTACGACGAAGTGCGATAATAACTGATCTGATCGCGTAGGTGTTTCTGGTGGCTTTCGCCTGCGGGGTCTACTGCAATGAAAATCTGCCGTCTCGACTTCTATTGCAGCCGAAGGACAAGCGCGGCACCAACGATCACTCGGTGACTTTCCCGTCGGGATCTTCCTCCTCTTATTCGGCTCCCGTTCACGCGAGTTACGAGATTAGTGGATCGTCTGGTGGCTATGGATCTCTGGGGCACGGTGGCCTCCTCAACTCGGGCGGTTCCATCGGCCACGGATATTCCTTAGCGTCGTCCGGTGGTCTCAGTCTCGGGTCCGGATACCAATCGCCCGGATTGAGCCATAATGGCCTGAGTCACCAGAGTGTCTCTTTGGGCGGACACTCGGCTCAGAGTACCTACTCCGTGCCCAGCATAGCGAGTCTGGGAAGCGGCGGAAGTAGCAACGGACTCTTCACTCCAGCGAAAACCGGTCCCGTTACCTTCGGAGTCCACGGTGGCGGTGGCGCAAGCACATCCGGCTCCAGCTCGTCGAGCAGCGCGCCGGTCTACGCTTCCGGCGGTCACGGACTCTCGGCTTACAGCAACGGAGGGGCATCTAACCTTGGTCTTCAAATCGTTCTGGCACCGCAGCATGGTCTTTCCTCAGGCTCTTCGTCCAGTTACAGTCTTCCTGTTCACTCCGCATCCTCGAGTCCTTCGCACGCTGTAACAGGCGGTTTGATTATCGCCAGTGGTTCACACAGTGGTTCCCCCAGTTACAGTTTCCCAACGTCGGGCATTCACGGAGCATCATCCGCGTACGCTTTTCCAATTAGTTCCGGATCTCATGGAATCTCCGCGTTGTCGTCTAGTGCTGGATCATCCAGTTATCCCGGTTCTTCAGGATCTTATGGCTCCGCCAGCACTCACCCCGGATTCTCGAGCGTATCATCCGGCGGTTCCAACTACGAGCTACCGATTGCCTCGGGATCTTACTCGAACTCGGCATCGTCCAACGCTATCTCACACACGAATTACTTGCCGTCCCATTCGTCTAGCAGCAGCTCCAGCTACTCCAGCCCCAGCGTCTCCTACGCGACACCGAGTATCAGCCACGGAGGCTCTTCCGGTTCCGCTTATCCCGGCGGCGCCGGCGGTGCCTACTCCGTCAGTTCGAACTACGTGGGGGCCGGTTCCAGCCCTATTGTAATTCACACCGGAAGCCATGGTTACACGCCCATGTATTATAGCTCATCTAGCTCCCACGGGACACCCGCGGACTCGCACGGAGCTTACGCTAGCGTAAGTCCGAGATATCTCGGATACGCTCCAGAAACGAAATTTTACAATGTAGGTAGCGCGAAGTATGACACGATCTCGTACTCGGTTCCAAATGGAAAACATTAATATACGTTTTGTAAATTTTTCCATATGTCTTGTCACATTGCCAGGATTCGATAACGGCTTAGGATTATAATTACAAGATCCGTGTTTGGGTCTCGTGACGAACGGGTAATTCAACGTCAAATGCGTCGTAAATTTGAAATTAATAATTACCTAATCTTATGCTGACTCGATCTTGCCATGAAAAGTAGCAATAGTATTTTCAAGGTAGGAGACCACGTATGCTGTTGAGAGTAAAAGTAAAGAAATATACACTTATATTTCTCTACTTTTATACATATATTTAAATTTTCTATTGTACGATTTATATAGCGATAGAAATCTGTACTGTAATCGTACTTAAATTGTTATCTGTATTTATATCTCTGACAGATGTTGTAGTATATTCCTTCCTGTTATCCCTTATCACTGATAATTGTGATTTTTTTGTTACATAGTTTTATATCTCTTTTGTAATAAATGAGTTGATTTTCCAACGCACACCAGAAAACCCACTTTAAATCTTCAAGACTGATCGTGACTGCGATATTGATAAATTAACGATCGGTAATTGATTTAGCGATATTTACGATCGACCGCTCATAAATCTCGAATAGTAAAAATTCAAATTCGAGTTTCTCAAGTCGCGAAGAATATTGCCAATAAATTTCGCCTTCATGTTGCACATTGCACGTAGCGGCGCGCGTAGATGCGCCAATGTTTCGCCTCTTAATGATGATTAAACACGCACTATAATTGAGATGATCAAAGAGATCGGAAAAGTGAAAGTGTATCACGAGATCGACAAGAATAATATAAATTATGATCCTAATTATCTTAATTAATTGCAATTAAATCAGTTGCAATTAAATTATATAGAGCGCTGGTTTACTTTCGCACGTGTTTACAAGTCTATTTTCGCAAATAGTATAGATAATTGATTCGACACGCGCGATGGAAGGTAATACCCGTATCGAAAAACACTTGAATGAATTCTGTCGTGGGCATTGTTGTCCGTCGGAATAATTGATGTATCTGGCAACGACTGGTGCTGCTTCTTCTGCTTTTATCCGCGGCATTACTGTGAAAGTTATTGACCGCACGAACGGCAACGGTATAACCATACATGAAACATAATAAAAGCACAAGTCCGCCCAACGGACAGAAACGGGATCGCTTTTACTCCAAGGCCAGGATGGGTCGGGGTGAGTAAGAGATACCTTTCTAAACCTTTATATATTTATTTGAGAAAGTGATTGCCGGCAGAAACGTTGGCTGGTTAGATTTATTGAACGGCTAATGCACGTAGGAATTGATAATGTAATGTTTAATTTCTTTTTTTCTGATATTACATACATGTATAGATAGCACTAATAACTAGCATTAAAAGTGAAATTATGCAACATAATAAAATAATAAGCAAAAAAATAATATATCCTGTTAGCTTATATTACGTACCGAAAGTGTTACACATGAAGCTCAATGTATCGTTTTATTTAAAATAATAAATAACAAAATTATAATTATTAATATTTATAAAATTAGCAAAATAATTACTAATTAAATATTTTTATTTTACAGCTTTATCTTTCTATTTGACTTATATTGATCTGATATTTTTTATAAATTAAAGAAATTATAAAACAATTTATAACATATAGATTTAATATGTTTTTAATTAATAATTATAGATTAAATATGTTTTTAAACGTTATGTGAAACATTAGCATAGTTTAATTTAATTTAATTTAATTTTAACCTTATATAAATAATGCTACGCCCGATTAAATATCAGGCTGATTAATGGATCGTGGAAATCGCGATCTATCAATCAACAATTTGCACGGCCAAGTGATCGGTTGTTTTCGTTAATCGAGTTTTTTACATGATTACACGGCCAAGGAGATTGACCGCGTAAGAAAGCGACTTTAGTTAGTCGCGCGCGTTATTTCTTTCGCGCATCTGACCCAATTTCTGCTCGTATGCACTGAACACGTGTGTGTGTGTGTGTGTGTGTGTGTGTATACGCACGCCGCGAGGACCGCACGGCACGACGTGACATGACACGAGAGAGCCGTACGTATGACCTGGCTCCTCGGATGTGTAATCCGAGATGTATGACGTCCCCCACGCGTTGCCCAACCCAATCAGGGTATCTCGCAAATATAGAAAACGCAAACGTTTCACTATTTTCTGACTGGTTTTGCGAGAGACACGCTCGGGCTTCTCTCACTCTCATGCCCGACATGGCGAGAGCGGGAAAAGTTCGCTCTTACTCTTCGCGAAGGCGTTCCCCCGGGTGGACCCCGTCACGCATCTCTGACTTGATCTCGGACTTGCGAGTGTCCAGCCTGTCAGGCGACTGGGAGATTCACTTTTGTGACGTACCGACCTGTAATACGAGACCTTTTTTCCAATGAAGTAATTGAACGAGATTCGAGTATGTGCAGCGAGAGGTAATGTAGCAGTTAGCAATAAAGGGATATTTGCGGAAAAATTTTAAACTTATAAGAAGATGGAGTTTGTAGTTGAGTAACGACGATATGTAATGTAAGATTTTCTTTAATTTATTTGTGCTAATTTTTTAAAATCGGTTTCTGAAAAGAAATCTTTCGCATTTTTAATAAACATTTAATAAAAATTTAGAAAAATTAAACCATATATGCTAATATACATATTAATATTATTTATCATGAAACTCTAAAACAGGTTCATCACATTCACATTATTTATTGAGTACTTAACGAGCCGCGTCTTATTAAAGATATATATTTATTTGGTATATGAACCAAGTAAAAACTTGGCACTTTATCTAAATTAAGAGAAATCGACAACGACACCAAGAATTACATTTTCCCGGATGTCGCGAGGACGCAATCGTCCATATCAAATGTTGTTATCACGGATGTGATCTGCCTGATAAAGATATTCGCTGATGGGAGACGGCGCATGGGTGAAAGTAAAGTAAATCGACGTTTTCAAAGGCATACGAGAGCGTCATCGCGAAAGGCGTTGTTCGAGCGAGATTGAAAAGATCTTGCTTGAGGATGCCGGAGGGCGCTCCACTTCCTGGTTCGTTCGATCTTGAGCGGCCATCGTCTTGTTTTCCGACCGGTCACTTTTAGTCAGTCCAACTCGGACTTTCGCGAAAATCATGCGTTGTCAAATATGTTTCAATGGTCGACAAAAATGTTGGTTACATATCGTCACAGTAGCTCAGTTAATAATTATTTAATAATCGTTTGTCTCGCTGGGAGGACACAGAATTTTGCTCGTTTCCTCAAAATGTCCGGTAGAAGATACACGATAGCCCGATATCTATTGCACTACCGGGTAATGACGGATCAGCCTGTCACATTCGCCATTTGACGGCGATCGAACGGCATTCTATACATTTTCACTGCGCCGTCGAAGCGTGCACTATCACTTCCAGTTGCCTATATGTAAGAGCAGAGAAATGTTAAACTAGTTTCCGCAATTTTTCCGGTGGCCGGGTATAAAGGAGAAATTCAATGTCGGCCGATGTGTCATTAAAGGTGGAACCGTCGCGTTGGTCTGATCTGCAAAATTGCTAGTGTGGACAAGGTGCCGGATAAAATAACGATTAAACGGAAGATAGCATATAGCTTCGTAGCCAATCTCCGACGGCAACAGGTGAACTGCAGCGGAGATGGAACGACTGATTAGTATAAACTGTTATACTAATTGTAATAAATGTGTTAATTAAATGTAAAAGATTCCGTATTTTATTTAATGCTATTGTATTTAATGCTAATTAAACATGGTGTCTGATTCTTTTTACACGGTCTAATTATAGACAGGTATTTTAAGGAAACTTTATGTTTTAAAATGCTTTTAAATGTAATGATATATATATTTATATTTTTGTTCCGAGAGTTTTCGTTTTTATTGTACATATATATATGCATCAAACCAATTATAATATAATAAAAAATATTTTAAATTATTTATTAACAAAGAAATAGAACTTGCATATAAATATGATATTATTATTTAAATGTATTTTTTCACATATTGATTATATTATAATAACAAATACTGAGAATTATATTTTTACACATAATTATATAATACTTATATTAATTATATATTGATAGATATTACAAAATAATTGTAATGGTATCTTTTACTAATGCAACAATAAAAAAATATATGTATATAATTTATTTTTAATTGATATAATTATATATAAAATTGGCAATTGTGTATTTTATTAAATATATGAATACAAATGTTTAATTACAGATACTGCTCTGCTTGCTGTCACCAGCAATTTTCGCTCGGCCACAGAATCCTAATGACGAGCCATTTCTACCGATACATCCGATCTACCCTTACAGCCTTAAATTATTTAAGCGAGGCACCGAGGGAGAAGCAAACTCTCAATTAACATCGGAACTGTACGCGCCGAAAGTCGACGCCAAGGACACCTACAGCTCCAGCTACAGCAGCAATTACCAAAGGGCTTCTTCTTATCCCGATAATAATCCGTATCTCACAAACAGCACACCCTCATACGTCTATCCCTCGTACCACAACAGCGGCGAGGCCTATGTCTACGCTAACGTGCCGTATCCCGCCTATAATTCATATCCCGCCTCGTACGCGGTGAATCCGGCGTCGTATCCAGTGCCGTCGTATCCAAACTATTACTACCAGCCGCCCTATTACTACCCTCATTACTTCACTCACGCCCTGTTCCTGCCACCGCCGCCGCCGCCGCCGTCGTCGTCAGGGATCGACTATCGCGAGACATCGCAAGTTCCCGTTGCGGAGGGCGATAAGCAGGACGCGGATAAAAAGGGTGAGAGAGCGAACGTGGACGGGACGAGCCAAAACGCGCCTCAGTTCGTGGACGGCGGAAACTACATAGCCGGAAACTCGCGGGACCTCGACGTGCAATCCAGCACGTACAAATTGGCCAGTCCGTACAACCAACTCGCGGGAGTTCAAGTGAAAAATCTGAATCTGCCGATTTCCTTGCCGAGGACGACGTATGGAGTCATCAACGTAGGGGGGCAGTCTGTAAGTCCGGATTATTCGCTGCCCACTGCGTACGTCAGGGCTCAGCAGGTTGAGCAGATGACTAGCCAGGCGTTGGCCGATCTACTGGCGCAGAACGCGCGACAGCAATCCGGTCATTCCTATGAGAATAGCAGGGACACTCTGAACTATGCCAACGATGGATCGTACGAGAACCAGGGTGCTTACAATCCAAACGCGCCGTCGTACATGATTCTTTCAGACGCGAGGAGCAAAACCGGCGGTGTCACCTACGTGATCGATTCCGTCGGAATCGCCAAAGTCAATGGGGAACAAATGAAGCAGCAGGGCGCGTCGTCTCAGAAAGCTTCGAGTAAGAATGCAAAGTACTCGAACGCTTACGCTCAAAAACCGGCGTCGCGGAATCATTCTCAAGCAGCGACGTACATATCGCCCGAAAGTAATCATCGCGCTCGCGTGAGCAGCAATCAATCGGCAGGTCAATCTGTCAAATACGGCAATTATGACGCGTCGCAGAGTTACGGCGGCACTTACAGTCAGTCCGGCAACAAGCAGGAACAGAATTACGGGACGTATCAGAGTCAGCCGGGTTCTTATCAGAGTGAAGGTTTCGTTGTCGCTCCTCAGACACCTCGATTGCACAGTTATCAGTACTCCGCTTACGAGTCGGATCAGGTGCAGCAGCCGCAGCAAGATGAGACCAATACTAACAGCGGCACTTTTGGAACTAAACAATTTAAAGGATAAAATACAGCAAACGCAATCAAACTGAAGAACTGGTGCTATTTATACACATAAGATGTACTGTTTTTTTCTTGTTATTTTCTTCTTGTTGTTGAATTGACGCGGCTTCTTTTAGTCCTAGCAAATTAAATAATTAATTGTATAGAGCATCTCGGATATCAAACACTGTTTTTATATTTATTATTGTACCGATTATTTACAAAAAGAGTTAAGTTAAGATTTTGCGATCAATTTTTTATATTATATGTTTTAATGTTAATTATTTTACCCTTAGTTAAATTCCAAAATTACAAATCAAAATATTAATTTTTTATTATATATAAGACTATAAAATAAATTTCCTTTATAATTTAAAATATAATGAAATTCATCTACCTTTATTTTCAATCTATTCTTTTGATTTGACGTATCCACAGATAAATAACAGATAATATGAGGAGTATCCATAAGGAGTTAATGATTTTAAAGAAAGATTTTAATCTATAGAGTTGTGAGTAAATGTCTGAATTGCTTAAAAGGTTTAAAATTCAAAGTTGAATTGTAAATAAAAATATTGTTGTAAAATATGACTAATTAAATGCTTTTAAATAAAATATCTGATATAAATAAAAATTATGTAAATAATTTGAAATAATATTAAATTTTGCTTGAAATATTGCAAATTTTTCGTAACATCTTTGTCTATTCCAATTTCACTTAAAGCATAAATCCCATAATTAAAACTCCTTATAAATAAGTATTGTTCTGTATATTATAACATTTTTATATTTATGCGCCGTGTTATGTTCTTTTGTATCTAATGAGAAAATTACGAGTTAATTATAACGATTTCTTTCTTTATATTGCAAAACAGAAAAAAACACGCTTGTACATTTCATATATATACACTTTCACTCCCTAATTCACTAATTGTAAGTTAAACAAAATCTGTTTTTAAATCAATATTATTCGTCTAACATTATTGATAGCTGCAAGTCAAAAAATAAAAACTTGACAACCTAACAGGCGCTAATGTTCCGAATGATTTATTTTAGCATCAATCGCTAAATGAAAGGCAAGCTCATAGATGTATGCACAAGATTGTTCCTTAATACGATTACTTATATCATCTCTTCGATCCAGCTTGGTACTTTCTTTCTCTCATGTGAGCGGCGACTGTCGCTTTTATGTTACCGCGAAAACGCGAGAGATGTTAATCTTTTAAAATTTACGAGACGCGTGAAAAGAACGCGAAACCTGTACCTGTTTTGCAAAAGCCTTTTAGCATTGCAGAGCGAGTCTTTTTTAGAGCAAAAAGTCACATTGTCGCATTGGACCTGATCCGCTCTGATCCGACAATGAGGATCCTATTAACTTTACGACCTATATACATATATTTTAAATACGCGTTTTAGTCACTAATATTATAATAAGCGATCCTTTATGCTGCCTTTGACGTTTGCACTCCTTTCTCTTCGGTGTAAGTACTGCAAACCGGTTTCCCTTTTGTGTTTATTTTTGTACTTTACTTTCGTTCGATGAGCGACAGCTTCCTGCTTCTTTTCTACCGTGTTCCTTTCAACGTAATTATATACACGTCATCACAAACTGCGATGTACGTGAAAATCTGGCGGATTAAGACGCGGAAATTTACACGGACGAGGCAATTTTGAAGGTTTACCATGTCATTAAGATAATATGCTTTACGCGGCGCGCTACATAATTAAAACACGTACAATAGAAAGCTCTTATTTTCTATTTCTATGTATCGGCATGTTGCGAACAATGATTTTTATGTTTGTTTTCTGAATATAGCGCATTTATTACTTAATATAAATGTTTAAAGTTTATTTTACACAATCTATTTAACTTGCGTCTGATTTTGACATATAATTATTTATATAACTGCATATATATATTATACAGTTTTATTTATGTGCACATTTTAATAGTACATATTTTTTATATACGTGTATTCTGATTATTCAAGTATTTTTTATATATGCAATACTTAACATTAGATTTCTATTTGATTCTGGCACAACTTACTTAGATCGTCTAAAGTCAATCAATTATCACTAAGTAAGCAGATAAATTTAAAATTACATAATAATATATTGTCCTCGCCGTTTTAGATGATTGTAGAAAGTTAATATGTGAAAGAAGCCGATGTAAATTACAGATGCACCGCGACGATGGACGATGTGTGACTGCTTTATCTTGAAATTCTATGAGAATATGGGACGGCGCGCTACCTTTTCTCTACCGGTGATGAATCCCCCGTCTCTAATTAATTCCGCGCTCGCCAATTAATTTCGTTATGAGCTTTTCTGCGCGCCGTTGCTCCGCACGTCCTTTATTTAGCGCGGCGCTAATTGAACGTTTAAGATATTTTCCGTCTTTTGTACGGTATCGTCTTAACATGGAATCACGGCCGCGGCGCTGGAAAACGGAAGAAATCCGGATCACGGCAAATGTCCGGTAAGATCTACCGGATGAGGCGTGCCGGCCGCGATGGAAAGCGGAAGTAAGGTCTCGTAACCGGTCTGCTTGAACCGGCACGTCGATGGACCGTGTGAATGAGATAAGAAACGTTCACTATTTCCTTTTAAGTTTCACGAAACTACGCCGCTCATATATGAGTACTCGGTCATCCATATCTTTTTTTAGTTCATTCTCGTATCTTTCTTCCTGATGAGAATGTGTAAAAATATCTGGAAGTAAAGGTCCAACTAATATTGTAAAATATTTCTTCGAACATGTTTAATTACATATCTAAAATTAGGGAACTAATGCAAATATCTTTTTCATCTCTTGTAAAACACACGGTTGTATGCATAGAATTAATAAATTTGACGGAATTGCATGTTTCATGCGGAATGCAATAAGTCTTGACGCCAATCTTGATGCGGATATCGTGGCAGATGAGTGAGAGCTGCGCTCGGCGCGCCGTTTTGCTTTATTTTGTTCATTTCACGGCGCGCTCGTGCATACGCTGATGGTGTCTGGAATAAAATCAGATGGACCAAGCCTGTTACTTTCACGCGCGGCGACTCGATCTCGATTGATAATATACGGCGACCCGAAAGTTCGAAGCGCATAAGCGCCTCGCCTGTATAAACGGATAAACAAGGCTGCAGCTTTTGGCGACAGTGGTAGAAAGTCTCATATTCACACGCATGTGTAAGGACATTCATTACTGTAACCGTTATTGTAAGCGTTATTTTCTCTTTATGTTTATGAGCCGTCACGCGTCATGCGAGCCGACAACCGAGCTATCTGCATTATTCCGATAAGATTCCGATCCAGAGAACGTTGCATCGAAAAAAATGTTATAGCACTCTTCTTAATTTATGTAGAAAATGTGTTACTCTATATTTGGCACTCTTCTGCAATTGTGTACTACTTACTCGGTTTCCCTGACTCCGACAAGTAGATTGCATGCGGTGCGATGATTATTTTTATTGCATTTTTTAAATGGTTTATATTTCCGGTTTATATTTCCGCATTTTCTCTTCTAAGTTAATAAATTACCGTCATAACATCGTAATAAATTTAGTACTAATCTTAAATAAATTTAAGATTATATTACTAAATTTTGGCCATGCAAAACAACCACAGAGTTATAGATACTTAGAGAGTTATATACATGTATTATAGTAATAATAGAAAAAATTGTTCGTAATTCTTTTCTGCATATCGGAGAGAGCTGCAGATTTTTTATCCTTTATTTTACTTTCAGAGAAAAGTTCGAGCAATGATTTAAAAAAAGTAATTTCGATCGATTAATTTATTGCAGCGTCTTCGAGATAGATAAAAGAAAAAAAGAATTTTTAGGAAAGCATACTTTACTACTTAAAGATTTCTAATATCCGCCAATTTCCCAGCCTCACTTAATGAGAGAGAGAGAGATGCGCATGCAAATGACGATCGTTACTTGCGAATGATGATCGTATGCGAATGATAATATAATCGATCGAGTGAATTTCGAAAGCGGACATGCGACGGTCAATTCGAGCAAACATAAAAAACGCGCTAATCGCGAACGGACAGCTAATCGTAGGCGAATCCGGGTATGATCAAATTCGAGAAAGCGATCGGCCGGAAAGGTCGAATATTTGCATTTTTTGTTGTCGCTTCGTCGTAAATATGAGAAACTGCGTTCCAATCGGCGCGGCGGCGCGTCGTCAATGTAACGAGTCTAGTTTACTTCCTCGTTTTTCTCCACCCTTTCGCACGCGTTTCGTCGGAGGTCGGAGGCGCCGGTTTCGCGCGGTCCGAGAAAGTTTTCTGACTCGAGGTTGCAGGTAATTCGTCTCAAGTGCAGCGTCGTTTGACGCAATAGCGGGCGATCGGTATAAGGTTTGTAATCCACACCCATGACCACCGTAGAAAGTCCCGGTCCTCCTCCCTCTCTTCAGCCTCTTCCTCATCATTATCTTCCGCTTTAGCAGGTGGAACACACCTGGGTGTGTATGTCCGAGGAAAGGGTCGGGCCTTTGTGCGACTCGAACAGCGGAACGTTTCCACTTCTACATCAGGGAGAAAGAGAGAGCAACAAAGATATTGCGAGTCATTACGAGGCCTCCTTTCCATCCTCGCGATCCTTTCCCTTCCGTGACTCCCGACTGCATCGATCACCCATTCCCGTCAGGAATCTATGCAAGAAAAGCCGCTCTCCACCCCCTTCTCTTTCCGCTTCTTCGATCCGGAGCCCTTTTCCCCATTGTCTGCGACAGAATGGAGCGAGCGAGCGATGGCTTTTCCATTTAGGAATTTTCAGGAACACCTCGCCACGCGATCGTCGCGATAAGCGGTAGTTCGCCCGGATGACTTGTCGGGTAACCGTTATCGCTCAAATTCGATCGGATGAACGGCAGGAATGGTGTTCTGATGTTCAATGCGATTTTTTGCATCATTTTAATACAATCTCGCGAGCTGTAGTCGAGAACACCTTCACCAATTACGTCGTTTAATACGAGAATGATTTATTGTTAGATCTAATCATGAAAATTAAGAGAAATATGAACTTGAACGTATCATCGATCTTACAGAATGAAGTACTAGATAGCAAATTCTACATGTGAGAGATTAGCATGATTAATTACTTACGCGTTGTGCCTATTAATTTTGTAGAGATTTGTTTATCGAACGTACATATTTTGCAAACATATACTGGCTGCAATTTATAAATCATAAAGAACTTGGCATAGTGATTGTATTAAAATTATGTTACAAATTATATGAAATTTTAAAAAAGTAAAAATTAGTATAACCCGATAACTTATCACCAGCGTAAGTTTCAATGAGTTATTGTAAAATACATATCAGATTTATATGAATACCGAAGATATATCGCCGCCTTTTGAATTAAACAATCAGATCGCATGTCCAAATCTCACAACTCAATCTTGCATGCAACTATTAGACACGCAGTGGTGAGAATAATCCACTTTTCCACAAGTGCGTATGCCGTATGCCATTATATCGTTCAATAATCGGAAACCGCCACTTCCTATCAGATCACATCGATCATTCTCTCTATTGTTCGCAGAAGACACTGACGTTGGCGCTTGTTTCTCATTATGCAGAACTTGAATTAATAAACGGTAGATTGTATCGAGAATTGTGATGAATATTATACTTACCTGGATAATAACGAGCTCCAACAATTTCTATTAAATTTCTATCAAATATTAATTAAAGTTCTTTCAAAAATAATATTTTATTATACTAAAATTTAGTTCGTAATATTAACTTTTAGCGAGCATATAATTTTCGTTAAACTTTTTACATATCATCGAATTTATATAATATATCATTAAACAAAAACAAAATGAAAGAGTTATTGTAATTAAAACATATGTTGGAGGACGATTATAATCGTACGTAAAACTTTTCGTACATATTAACGCTATACAAAATAATTTTCGCATTTGTATATTTAATTCATATTCTATAGGAATGTAAATCAGTAAAGCTGTATATCATTTGATCTGTTTATTTGCAAATTGTGGTTAGTGCGAGATCGATTGAAACGCACCGACTCGACCAATTAGGAGTTTAATGAACCAAATAATTGGGCATGGTAATTAGCGCGATTTAACGGCTTCAAAAAATCTGGGGAGCAATTTACGTGAAGATTATGAGTGTCGATAACGCTACTACCAGGCACTTAACGCACTTTATTCTGCGTCGAACGCAATCGGATAGCCGAGACCACCGCGATCGCACGAACGACGTGCGTGGAAATGACGATAATGATTAAGTACGTGAAGCTCATTTCTGGTTTGATCACCTCAATGATATATCACGTTCCCAGGAGATTGCGTTTTAATAATCGACTTTTTCCCGCCTGTTAATCTCGTACTAACGACACGGCATCTTCGACGCGTTTCTTTCTACGAAAAGATTAGTTTTCTGCCGTTTATCTGATGGATGCAAAATGAATCGTTCCAAGCAAATTAACGTTTCCTTATAATCAATATTAATCACACTTACATGAAATCATGATCTTCTTATTTTGCATCTCGGCACATTCTTGAATAGAATGTACGTGCAGTTAACGTCAATTAATTTCATTTTAATCATTATTTTTCTATCTAATTTGAATACCATGAGTATGATATAAAATTTGAGTATTAAAAAGTAATATTCTGCTTAAAACTCTAGTCACATTTCCATTTTTATAAAGTCCACTTTAAATAATCTATTTTAATTCACTTCAGATTTCGAGATAGGATTTTATTTGTAATTTTATATACCGTATATTTTAATGCAAACACATTTACGTATTTTAATATTATATTATTTTTTTATTTTAATTTATTTTATATTGTATTTTATATAATTTAATTTTTCAAATTCCTTTGTATTACGCAACACATAAAATTATGCATAAAATTATATTTTGTCAGATACCACAGATCTCTATAATGAACTTGACATAATATTTTATTAAAAAACAATTACTGACATTATTTCTGAAGCAATTATTTCTGAAAATAATTACAAAAGTTTAAAAATAATTATTGTGAGATGTAAATAACTTAGGAATGTAGCGTTTTCGAGACACGTGTTAGTCTTTCTCTGAAATGAGATCCAGTCGTATATTCTCAAAAAAATTGAGGAAGTAATTTAAGGAATATCTTCACTTTTACTCGTGTCATGATGGTATTCTATATTCCGTGGACCACCGACACGGATTATCACACACGCTTTAATCAAGAAGTGAAGTGTAGCTCGACAGGAGATACATCTGGTAGGGATAAAGGCTATATAAGAGAACGCACGTCTGATTCGGTTTTATAGTAGAGCTAAGTCCTTTGTGTCGTGTCTGTATTTTTTTTTTATAATATATATATTTGCAACATGGTAAGTATGCCCCCGTTATATAGATGTTTCCACTTCAATATTTTAGTGAGATAATACCGCACATTATATAACTGCCACGAAAAAGAAATGCATAACGTCGCTAACAAAGAGGAGAGAAGATCGAGTTTTGTAACAGAGTTTCATATTGATTCCCATAAAAGGATATCACAAATAAAATTATTGTGTGAAGAATTTGCTTCTAGAGAAATATATAAAACAAATTTTGTACGGAAACTATTTTTTGTACAACAAAATAAAAAAATGTTCCGTCGTCAGTAATACGTTCTATTAAATTGAGAAATAGCTGGAGTAATATTTCAAAGTTTCGTTATAAATTTTTAAAAGCGCGTAGCTTTTCCTGGTACATGACACACTGTAATGTATGCCTGAAAATTCGTTTAGAGATAAAAAAAAAAGATAGAGAGAGAAATGTACATGCATGCATGTGACGATACACGTGTACGAGGGAGGGAGCGGCCCGCCCGCCGGTGGCGGGATAACACAATCTATATAAGAGTGGTCCATGCCGGATGTTTGACCCAGAACTTCACGTGCAGTGAAAGTGTGCCCGGTGCAAATACGTTTTTGCCGGAAACGATAATGGTGAACACACAATATAATAATTAACCACTAAAGCGCGTAATCGCTAATCGCTTCGTAGCCCGATTATTATTACGCATTGTTTATTAGGGATTATTAATTTGTTCCTCTTACATTTCTTTGTACATCTACGAATTAATCGCATTAAACTTTTATAAATCATCGTAGTTGCATGATGAACTCGACAAGAAGATTTCTTAAGCAGTTAATTTCGCGATTTTTCTTGAATCATATTTCTTGAAATTTATTGAGTTCAACTTTCAACACAATTTAATATCATTAATGCTTTTTCTAAATACACGTTTAAATATAATGATATATTTCTCTTCTAATATGCGTCAAGAAAGCAATTAACATTTTTACTTACACGACACATGCCAATCAAGCTATTTGTATTTCATGCGAAAGTCATTAGTCAATGTTATACTTATACTAGAAACTTATAGATTATTGCAGGTTTATGCACAATTGGATGACGAATTAAAAAGAAAAAAGAAAATGAAAGGACACAATAGAGAATAGCTGACGGACAGTAATTTTAACTTTCTCTTTCGATTACAGAAAATCTATTTAATATTGGGTCTGCTGGTAACAGCGGCGTATGCCGAGAAGAAAATTAATTTAGAAGATATAGAGAGAGATAATCTGAGGGCGGAGGGTAAGCCTGAGAGCATCCGGACTGATGAGACGAAATATACCGCCAAGCCCAATCAGCAGCAGCAGTATCAAATACCAAGCCAATATAATACTTTGAGTCATTCCGAACTGTACATCCCACCTCAGCGACTTCAGGATATAAAATATAGCGTAAGATATTAATTAAATGTTGCAGTACGGAACTTTAAGAGTTTTTACTTCCTTTTAGTTACGTTCCAATAACAGATATAAAAATTTTTATATCAGATAAATTTTATAATATGCTATCATACAGTATATGCGTGCATATAATATAGAAAATAATATTAAAAAAGAAAATAGTTATATCTGTAAAATACCAATATACAATTTTATCGACTATATAAAATAACGCTGTTTTCGTTTATTAACTCTTTTGTCTTCTTCGTTTTGTTATCGTTAGGAGGTACCACCTGAAGAATACAGTCAACCTAATCAATACTCTGTACACGAAGCACAATATAAACAGCCGAGCCAAATTCTGCCACAGCAAAATATTCCGCCGGCACAATATTACGGCGGATATCAACAACAAGTAGAAATAGCAGCCAAAGGCATTGCTCCTATCGCCTTCGAATCTCAGAAATTAAACTACCAACCGGAAATACCAGTGGGCAACTACATTCAAAGTGTTCAACAGAAAGCAGTCACGGAAAAATACACGAAAGCTGTCAATAAAGGTAAAGGACACAAACAAAATGCTTCTAATATTTCTCTATTCTTTAAAATATTCAAGAATTTTTTTGAATAATAATATTTATACTACAGAGCATACTTTAATTACGTTACAAAATTATAAATTAACAATAAAATGAAAATGCTGTAACGATATTTAAATATTTAGAAAAATATAATAAGTGTTTAGAAGTCTATTGTCAAAAAAGAAGAAAAGAAGATAAAATTACTTAATAGAAATAAAATATTTACCTCGATAATTATTGAAAAAAGAATTAAAAAATGAATTATGTGTTTTTACTTTGCAGAACCTCTTTACATCGACGTTCCGGTGACACAATTGCTTCCCTATTATCCCTATTATCCCTTGGATAGTAATCCTTTAGTGGGTTTAAAAGGTGCCGGATTGGCGCAACCTCCGTTACAGTTAGCCAGCAACGCGGCTCAACAAATTTCCATACCCATATATGCCTCCGTGTACAATCAGAAACAATTGATCCCTCCCTTACAACCATCTTACTCTACTGCCGGGCCGGTGACGTTCACGACCAAGGTAAGAGAGTTTAATTTCCGCGAATGTAACTTTCTTAATGAATTGCATTTTTGTGCAAATGATTATTGTAGCAATAATGTCGCAATATCGTGATTAAGAGTGAAACGCTAAACTTTCTTCCTGCATAGTAAACATATTCGTGAATATTTTAGCATCGATTTAAACTGGTCGCACGATCGGAGCTATCTTTTCTGTTTCACTCGTCAGATCGTGAATATTTTAGGCGCCGAAAGGATCGACTTACGCAATCCCAAGTATACCGAAAAAGAAGCTCAGCTCGTCCACCCTGACGACACCCTTGTACGCGCAACCCCAGCAGTCGCTCGCTCAAGGAAAGACCCTGTTGCACACGCAAGCTTACATCACGCCTTCGCAGCCGCAGTATGTGCAGCAATTAGTTTACACGCAGCCTGGCATAGCTTACAGCGATCCCGCTGCCGCTTACAGCGATTTTTACGCTCGTCTACCAGCCTACATTCAGGATAACTACCTTCGCGGACAGTTGAATCAATATCAGACGCAGCAACAGCTGTACATCGCACCGACAATCGGTCACGAGGCGCCGAAGGAAGTCCTGCAGGAGCAGATCAGCCAGGACCAGCCGCAGAACTATATCAAGGTTGGTAGATGTGATAGATTCCAGTGTCATAACTGATATTTCACTCAGCGTGATTTATAGCTTGCGTGACTACGTTACATTTATCAGAAATCGGTGTTTTGTAATGGAAATGACAGTTTTACATAACTGTCGCTTTACCCGCCGGAGTTATAATTAGATATTTAAATTAGCATCGTTAACAGGATGTCATTGCTATCTAATTAGCATAGTTTAATTACCTCTGTCGCCGCGCTACTACATGCCGTCTACGATATTTGTTTTCCATTAGCACTTTTACTTTAATGCAATAAAGAAACGTATGATATTTTCTATAAAATAATGTAGTATATTTTTTATGAAAAAAAAAATAATAAATCACACATCCTGACTTAAAATATAGAATTTTTTTTGTTTCTTTATTGTAAATATATATTTGCAATATCCTGCAGGATTACTTGCTCAGAGCTCTCTTTTATAATTATCGTCTCATTTCACGCAACACAGAAACTATAACTTTGTTTAATGTGTTTTTGAACAGGTGCCTGACGAGCCCAAAACTCATTTCATACCGCCTCAGTTTCCTCCGCATGACTTCAAAGCCGGTAGTACACAACTGGAACCTATTCGGGGCTCCTTCGAAGACGAGCAGGCCTTGTTGCAAGTGCAAGATCACTCCTTGCCCTCGGAGCCGAGGTCGTTACTTGACACATACATTCCAAGCAAAGTCATTGCTGCACAGGACATAGCCAGGTATGATAGAGTGAGTAATAAAAATGCCAGAGTGCCTCTTATTACTGTAATTACTGCCATAACTATATTGTTATAGATACAGAGAAAGACCAATAAAGCTGGAAGGGGGCTTTCTCCCGTCGAAAGTGAACTTCGCTCTTAAGAAGCGCAAATCCGAGTGAATCGCCGTAAGTGGCATGACGATTGACGAATGTCATATACACAAGGGTCAGTACAGTTTGAAAACTTAATTACTAGCGATCACATACGACGACCGAGGCGTATCAGGACGGACATCGAAGATGTGTCGTTTGAACAGAGGTCGGCGGCGTCATCGCATCTAGTCTTTCATCGAAGATCATGCAAAAGCCTTTTTATACTGTTCTCTTTTACGTTTGTAAAGACGCGTTCAGTAAACGACAAATACTTTGTTTACGATTTTTCAATAAAATTTAAAATGAAAAACACAGCTGGTGATATCTTTCCTCCAACTTGTAAAATAAGATACAGAAATATGTGTTAGAATTTGTTAATTATGCATATATTCTATCAACTTTAATAATTATGATATAATTTTACATAAAACTATTTTTTTTTATTTAGAAGTAACTATTTCTTACATATTATAAAATGTTTCTTACGCATATAACGGCAACTAAAAGATTGTGTAAATATAAATTTTAAATATTTTTTCGTTAAATATTTACTTGTGAGTAACATTATTTCTAACCACCAAATTAAAATATTTTTTTTATATTTAATTCTTATATTTAGTATTCTTCTTATTCTTATACCTAATATTTATATATTTAATTTATTTTTTACACTGTTACATATTTAATAATCAGATAGTTAAATTTATTAATTAAAATCATAAAACTATTTTTTTAAATGCAATATTTTTCAAATTTAATATCTTCTTTATTGTATTATTATAATTTGAAGAAGAAATTATAATATTATAATTTCTCCTCCAAATATTATTTCGATTTTGCAACAAACTGGATTGAGATTTTAACACAAATTTGGATTTTAAAATTACCAAACAAATATGTAAGAATGTAAAATATTTACGAAGTTTTTAATGATGATACGTAACGTCTCAAAAAATATTAGGATATTCTCGATATTAGGAAAATTAATTCATTGAGCAATCAAATTTCGTGATAGAAGATATTTATCGTCTACCATTAGTTGATGGTAAAGCCAGACACTTAACTTTTTTCTACGGTTACAAAAGGGATAATTATATGTTACCTATTACACGACATTATTAATCAAGACGTATGATTTGCGATGTGATTTTATTAATTGCCCTATCGAGTACGCGCACACGACAAAATTATTTATCGGTCATTAGCATATCTAATAAACTCGTACGAGATTAGCTCTGACAGTTAATGACAGTATTTATGATAGTTTACGATGTACATTTAGATCGACTGAGTTGATATTAAAAAGTAGAGCACTAATAAAGATATATTTAATTTTAAGAAACATACGATTACAAGTATTTATGTGAGCGCGATATATCAACGGAGAGAATATTCACACGAGAAAGCTGATGCTACGGAGATGAGCCCAACGGTGTAGGCGCGAAAAATTAATCGCTTGAAATTAATTCTGGCTATTATTTTGTTATTAATGTCATCGTGCACGCTTTCTTTTTCCGTAAATGTATAATTTACCAGAATCTTCCGCTGATATACTCTAACTCTTAATTATTCGAACAACTTGAAGAATTAAAGAAACCGAGAGTTATATCCGGGAGAAGTATTTATTGAGAAAAATTATTTTACACGGTAAGCTTATTGATTGGAGAATATAATATATAATATTTAATACAAAAATATTTTATTAATTCTTATTCAAATAATGTTCATCAATATGCGCACTCTTTGCTTTAATTACTGTTTTACAAATTGTTTGCATTTGTTGAACTAATTTCATCATTGTTTCTGTTGATATTTTGTTCAATACTTTTTGTAATATTTCCTTCGTATGAGAACAATTATTCTCTTTGTTTATAGGAAATATAAATTTTAATAAATAAAATAATGTATAATATAATATCGACTATAATTGGAGATAGTTTGATGAACGTTGTTTTAATAATTTAAATTTAGTATATGTATACAATTACAACTAATATATTACAAAAACAGCGTCAATTATTCTAATAAAGTATTATCTGTGTTAGAACACATGGAACATTCACTAAGATTTTAAAATCGGAGTAAAGGATAAAATATATATCTATCATTCGAATAATTATGAGCGGTAGTGTAATAAAAATGGAAGCAACATGCCTATGCATTTCGTACATCACGCCTTCGGACTCATCATAATATATTCTTGTGAACGACGCGTAATAAATAAATTTTTCAGAATTGCTAAAATCAATCTCACGTTGCGAATTCCAGATTCGCGATTTGTTACAGCAAACGATCCACAACATTTCGTTCTCCGAACCCTTCATTCTGGACAAAAACTCTCCCTGTTAATCCGATTTATAGCGCGATACGTACACGTTTATTTGCGTAATGCAAAAGAAATAAAGAACTTTCCTTGATCGGTGCGCCGATTTGTCAGACATCGTTACGCTACTGGCAGATGTCTTCCCGTATCGAACACGAATAGCATTCGTCTCGCCGTGGTGAAACTATAATGACGGTGTCCTTCTCACACCAGGAGCGAGGGCATATAAGGTGGGATGTTCTGGCCTCAGCTTCATCAGTACCAAACACACACACGGCAAGTCCGCCAAGCTAGCAGGTTTAAGGTCGGCCGTCATGAGTTTCACTAGGATCTACGTGAGTACTTGAATCAAACTTTGCGTATTAACGCCCTGTAGAACCTTATCTTTCCTCAAATCCCTATTCCGTTTTATTAAGCGATCACATAATTAATATTTATTATATTATAACGTACTACATTCTAATTGTGTTACAAACTGTCAGAAATTATATTTAATAGAAACATTGATCACATACTGTCTGTGATTCTTGTTATAAAATTTATAAAATCGTCGAATTAAAATTTATTTTTCGTGTTTTGTTTTTATCAATGTTACATTTTTTGACAGAAAGAAATGAATGTACTATATTCTCTTGAATTTTATTAATATTTCGCTATGTAAAAAATATATTAAAAGAATAATACATTTTTTCTCCGTACTCTCTTGTCATATTTATAATTTTTTGTTTATTTCTTTATTTATATATAATAAGACCATTGAAATAAAAATAAAAATAATTAAAAAAGATAACAATTTTCGCACTACGTGGTATTAACATTTTAATGATCCTAAAATAACACCCTTTTGTAATTGTAATAATGAAACTGCAGTAATTGCGATAAACGTTATTGACGTAGTTACACATAATTGCGAAGTTAACAACCGCGTGTTGACATCAGTACGGATAATATGTTATTGACAGAAATTGATCGCGCGTGGAATTTCGTGGCTGCAGCTGTTCAACCTAAATTTAATAATCCCTCCGGATGAAGTTTTAACGCCGAAAATCCATGGGAAATATTTTAACGGAAACACACGTCACTCGTGCCATTTTTCGCAACAGTTCCAAAAAATCTTTTTTTTTTTTCTCTCGATCGAATGAACGCTTCCTGGACTCGACCGGACGTAATTGCCGGTGAAAGTTCCGCGTATTTTTCCAATCGCGGTCCATACGTGAAGAGGCGGTGATAAAGTGGCCGCGGCAGATGCTCTTGAGCAAGCCAGTGAAAGTCCGCGAGAAGGATAAGCCACGCATCTCATCTCGCGATTCGCCGTCGAAGGGAGTCCCGAACGCACTTTTCGGCATTGGGTAACACCGCGGTTTCGCACGGGCGCGACGTAACACGGACGTCCGACGAGATCCGCGTGAAATTTGACGTCTCCTCAATTGCGCGATACGCCGCTCGCGTTTTTACATCCCCGTCGCCGCCAATTTCGAGTTGATTGACGAGCTGACGAATGGCCGCGGTCGGTCACTTCGACACGCGTTGCATGCACATCTATTTTCATCACGTGTCGCGTACTGAATATTTATTGGATCATTAATGCCAAAATTGTAATTTGAGAGCAGTAGGCATGGTTGCTTCAGGAAAACGGGAATAAAAAAATCTGATTGATTTATAAATAATACCGCTATTTAGATAGACATGGTTTATATATATACGTTTCTAAAAAATTTTAGTAATTACACAAAAAGTGTTAGATATCATATAAATTATTTATATTTTATTTGCAGTATTTTAATTGTACATTTAGTTAATTTTCACTTTAACGTTCTTAATTTCTATATACTTTTCAGATTTATGTATTAATTTTTTAATTTCTCTCATACCAAGTTACTTTCGCCCATCTTTATAAAATAAGAATAACTTAAGCCTATTCATGGTTTCTTTGTTGATCTAACTTTAATTAATATTTTAATATAAATGCTTAAATAATGTAATATATAACCAATTTTTAAAGTTATCAGTAAATTCTTATCGGTACGATTTATAACTGTTTAAACTTTTATTACTCAACTGGAAAGCAATATTTTCATTCGTCGTTACCTATAGATTGCGATGCTGATGTTTAAAGAAAGCGGTGAAAATTGCAAGTGCGCAACGAATAAAACCCGTTTTAACGATGCTGACCGACACACTTGACTCTGACCCTACAAGAATATCTCTCCATATCTTCAGCTCTCCCTCCTAGATCGCAATTATGCGCTCGTTATTTTCGTAATTACATATATAACCGGCTTATCGTTCCGAAGATATCTTCGTATAGAATATGAACATTATATCTAATTAATACATCTTTTTGGAAATATATCTTATAATAGTGGAAACTCAATCCGGTATAACTTAACCGGCGTATTTCTTCGGGACGATCGTACATACTCGTCGAACAGGGAAGGGAAGTGAAAGTGAGATATCGCCGCAGATCGATGACCAACACATTGTTACATCGCATCTGGCGCGATTTCTTTACACGTGCCCCTGACTTTCAGATCGTCGCATTCCTGCTGATACACGCGCTCTGCAATGCGGCGACTACCGGAAGCAGAGAGATCAAGGTAAACGACTCGGACAGCGTTGAACGTCCCATCGCCGCCGATGATGCTGCCGATGCTCCAGATGCTGACGAGGGGGGGAAAGAAGAGGAGGAGCAGCAGCAGGAGAACGTCGAAGAGATCCTACCGATCCTACCTCCGATAATACTTCTGGATTTCGATAACGGCACGATCGAAGGTAATACGACCGACGAGAAGTCGAAGCGCACCGTGAATAACGGGCTCGGTTACGGCTTCGACCGGAATTCCGTGCCTATCCCGCGAAAGTACAATTATTACTTTCCCGCGGGTAAGACGGGAACCACCGTGAGCA